AAACAACACAAAACACCAAAATGATGTTTCATATTTTGGGCCCAAATTTGGAAGTGTTTTGCAGCTGTTTCAAACACAACAAGCCCAGCCAAACATGTTTTGGGCTACTGTAGCAGGCCTAAAACAAAACAAAACACTTGCCAAACAGGGCCTTAGGTTTGTCTAGTCCAGTCACTAGATATCCCTTTTGTGTTATTTTTATTTGAGAACTTCTATGTATTATTATAATGTTTCTACAATAATATTAATTTTTAAGTTTCAATTAATAATTTGCATCTTGTTCTTATCCACATAAAAGAAAAAATGTTGATTGTTTCATTATTTACATTCATTAAATTCCTAATACAATTACAAAATTACTCATCTAATCCCCTCCCCCGCAATAAATAATTTTGGACGGGTTGAGATAAGGTGCCTAAACCCGCTTCATTGCCATCCCTGTATATATGTATAATTTTGTGAGCATAACATCACAAGGTTAGAATGGTCTTCTTTCGTATATATATCCTTGCTGGTTTTCTTGAATTATGCTGCAATTTTTGAGTTTGCATCAAGGAAAGAAGTTTTAATGCACGTTGTTCTGAAAGTACACAACTACATACTTATTTTGTAACATTAGTCAGTCCAAAATTCAAACACTTCCCAACCTCACATTTCAAAATCCTTTTTTTAAGAATGTGATAGAATCAAAGCTTTCCATGTCTCTCCCCTATAAATTCAAACCGTACACCTACTACTACCTTAACATCGGTCAACAACAGTTCTAATTTTTAATCACTAAGCATGTCAAAAGTTAGAGCTGTCTTCTTTCTCATAGTGGTGGTTACAGGCTTTGGCTCGCTCTTGCTCGGTCATGTGACAGGTGCAACAGAAATTAGTTATGGTGCCTTGAGTCGTAACCAGCCTTCTCCACGCAACAAACAACCACAATCAACAACAAATTCCTACACTAGAGGCTGTGAGAATGTTGAACGTTGTCAAGGTTGACCTCATCTTCTCCACCCAAAATCTGAACAAAAATCCTATAAATCCATACAACTTCAATTGTTCAGGATCGACCAATTAGAAACATGAGTAATGTTACAAGCAACTATTGTGTTTTTGTAATTATACTATAATTATTAATGTCCAACCAGTACTACAGGACCTTGCCATAATCTCTATTTTCATTTGGTGTTTATCATTCCAATGGAGGATACTGTATAAACTAACGAGACAAACTTTTCTGTGTAGACTCCAATTAATAATGTCAACATGGATTCTTGTCATAATTAAATAGGATCTCCGTTCATATGGTGTGTAGTGGGGCCATGCCCCCACACATAAACCAAAGTTTGAAGGATGTGCAGAAGCTCAAATCATCTAGAAAAAGTGTAACGTTCTGGATGTTTTGGGATCCATTAAAAACTTTAATCACTTTTTTATTCTATTTTAATTTTAATATCAACTATAACAGACAGGTGACTAACCTAAGAAATTAGAAGTAACGGGAAGTGGAATATTTTTAAGAGAGAAAGGATGGCACGGTTCTCTGAATTGCATCAATCTTCTTTCAATTTGTATCCTCCCCCTCAGAAGCTTGAACCGTCGGTGAAGTCGTCTTCTTAATTGCTTCAAAGGGGTTATTATTCAGTAATTTTTGAGGGTGACTGCAAATCAGTCATGGCCCTATCTCCATCCGAGGAAGCCATTTCTGTTATATTATGGAGGACACACTCCACTCTCTTGACCTTGATCCCAGCTTTTCTGTTCATTAATGGATCCCTCGTGCATGAATGCAACAAAATTGTTCATGAACTGAGCAGAGCGCCTCTCCAAGCCCGCGTCCGGAGCCTTTCTTGTTGATGGATGCTCTGTTTCCTAGTTTTCCTTTTGAAATAATAATAATAATAAATCCTCCTAAATAAAACCTGAGATTTCTATTATTTTTCTAAATTAATCAATGGTTTGGGATGACGTGGGTATTCCAACCTCACCTCTTTTTTGTGTGTTGGAATGAATGGTTTAACTGTCCTTTCACAAATCATGCCCTAATTTAGGAAGAAACTCTATAAATTCAATGGAGCACATATGGCATTGCAGGCACAACAATTAACAACAACATCATCATAAGATATAATTTGAATGACAAGAATGTCCAAAGTAGGCACAGGTGTTTTCTTCCTCGTAGTGATGGTGATTGGCACAACCTTGCTCTTGCTGACTCATGTGACAGATGCAACGGAAATTGGTTATGGTGCAATGAGCCGTAATCAGCCTTCTTCACGCAACAAACAACCACAACCAGCTAATTCGTACACCAGAGGCTGTGAGACAGCTGAAGATTGTCGAAACGGATTACCTCCACCCTAGATATAATAAATCTTCCCCCTGGTTACAAATTTACAATGACCCTTTTTTTTTTGTATATATATATATATATATATATATATATTAGTCTCAACTCCACCATTTACTTTGTCAAACCTAGAAATATCAATCTCTATATGTATGTGTATCCACCCTCTCATAATTCTGTAAATATATTTGTTCTTTAGTTCTTGATTTCATAAATATTATTGAGAGAATAGTATCATTCTTGTTTTTTTTTTTCCTTTCGTTCATGTGATGTAGGAATTTTATCTAATTCTCCCTTTTTTTTATACATATTTTGTATATCATAGGTAGATTATACTAATATGTTTTATTTGTTTGTCATGTAAATTATAAAGCTCTGGTAGGTGAATTGTTGACTATTATTATTCAGGGGATAAAATATTCTTGAGTATTGATGGAAAAGCAGAAGCTAAGTTGAGAATTATGTTAAGAAATTGGCAATCACAAGTTGGATGATGGAAAACTGAAATATTATTAATGTTGGCGTAAATTTGCTATGGTGTACATTTATATGTACTAGTAAAGAAATTTCAAAAACAAATGAATCCTGAAAATAACCCTATTTGGCACTCTCCCAGAAAAAAATAAAATTAATAAGAACCTAATCGCTAAAACAACATAAAAAAATAAATTAATAATAAAGAAATCTAAGTTTCATTCGATCAAAATTTTGGTCCTCTTTTTGATAGAGTTTTTGTTGCTTGATTCTTTGCATTGTAAAAAATTATTTTATGAGGTTGAATATGCCCTTGGAAACAGATTTCTGGCAGTCCTAGCTGTGCTGCTGATTCACACAAATTATAGAGCAATAGTAAATCCAACAACTATAAAACTACATGAAGTCCTCCCGTGAGGATGTACATTATCCCGATGTGAATTAATAATGATAAATGAACATGTACATCATCACGATGTTAGAGCATTTTTAGCACTCTGTTAAAAAAAAAATTTTGTAAAATTTACATTGCCATATATGATATTGTAAATTTTTTTCATCTCAAACCCTCTGTTAAGATATACTGCCACATCACCAATGTGTAAAAAAAGAATTTGTAACTAGCGGCAATGTAAGAATTGTTCAACCATTTTTTATTTATTTATTTATATTTTTAATAAATATAATTTGATTTATCACTTTCGTTTGATTTTTATTTTCTACAATCATACTATAGATTTTAAGGTTTTTTTTAGATTTTTTATCATTTTACATTTTATTCTAATAAGATAAATATGTACTAGCCAAATATTAGATATATATATTTTAATCACGTAGTTTCTACATACTTGAATCTTATTTTTATCATTTGCTATAAGTTTCCGGTGGCGATGGCGGGATGGGAAAGTGAAATATAGGGGGAAATTATTTTTTTTTTCTAATTGAGGAGGATTGGGACGTGAAGTTTAATCGCCAAAAAGTAGTTTGTAAAAGTTATATAGAGTATTGGCTATGACACGTGGTTGGTTGTTATTGGGGGATACTTTTTTACATAAAGGGTATAAAATAACCGTTAAAGTTAAAAATAGTTAGTACAAAATTTTTGTATAAATCTACTCTGACACATCAGATTTACACAAAAAAATTTAGCATACCGTTGGAGATGCTGTTAGTGTGTTAGCAGGATGGGATTAGGTTCAAACTTGAGCATCCTCCATAATTGTCAAACTTACAAAATCAGATATTAATCAAATTATGATTTGGTTAGGGTAATGAAAATAAGACAAATGTTCAATATAATTCACAAATTTTATAATGTTAAATATGTCCAGAAATAAATTTCTGTTGTCCCTCCAAACATTCTTTAGACTATATAATTCCTCAATTTTGCTGATCTCTTGCACGAAATTGAAGTATGTTACAACTTGTGACTTACAAGGCCTACACTATGTTTCTGTAGACCCAATTTTAACAATAAATCCACCACTTTCTGAAACATATAACCCATGCATTTACATGAATTGCTAAACTTGAGCAAGTAATTTATTTTTTTGATGACTTGATAGTTCAGGAAATATTTTAGCCACAAATACATTTTACCTGAAAAAACTGAAGCCACTTTTAAACTGCTTACAAATTAAGCAATATATAATATTTTTGTGGGTCTTTCGGAATCATCTTATTTGAACATTTTAATCTTCAATCAGATGTAGCGATTAACTATAGATAATTAATTTATTTAATTTATGTTGGATGTGAACAATTTAAGAAGCTAAAATTAATTAAGAATTTGGGTTTTTGTAAATATGTTTGTTTTAATTTTTGATTCAATTAATGAGATTGAAGAATTAAAGATGTATTTTCAAACAACTAGCCGCATATATATTAAGTTACTATTATAATTTACCAATTAGAAAGAAAAAAAAAAAACGCAAATATTACAATTGCTTGGGATTCAAGAAAAATACTAAATAGGAAACTAGGGCAATCTCCTTGTGACACGGAAATTGTAGATGTTGCATAAGACAGAGACCTTATTGGAGGCGGAGGCAAAAACTAAGGCAACAAAATAGGAAAGTAACTAGTCAATCTGAGAAGAAATTATTATTGCCAACATAACAAATTAGTACAATACTTCATCGCGAAATTAAGAAAAATACGTAGTAGATCAAGAACAGACTACAGAGAGATGGAAAGCCAGATATTGTGGAAGCGAGGAAGAAGATTGGGAATGGGCAGCTTTGGTGTCGTTTCATTAGCAGAGGCATATAAAGAAGGTAGTTGCAATCCTCCATTGTTGATAGCTGTGAAAACTACACAAGTGTCTCTCTCCGATTCACTTCGCAAAGAAAGAGAACTTCTTCGGAAACTTGAAGGTTGTCCCTACGTTGTTCGCTATTTCGGGGACGAAGTTTCAACAGAGAATTGTGTTGAACTCTACAATATAATGTTGGAGTATGCATCGGGAGGAAGTTTGGCCGATTGTATCAAGAGCTACGGTAAAGGATTACCCGAGTATGAAGTTAGACGATACACACAGAATGTGCTTATGGGTCTCAGTTATATTCACGAGCAAGGTTACGTTCACTGCGACATAAAGCCCCATAATATCCTACTTGTCAGTGAGGAAGAAGAAACTGCAAAGATTGCAGATTTTGGACTTGCGATGAAGATTGAAGAGAAAAAAAGCCCCACGTTGAGAGGCACACCTATGTATTTGGCACCGGAGTCGGTTCGTCATCAAGAGTACCTACCTCCTTCGGATATTTGGGCACTTGGGTGCACTGTGTTAGAGCTGATTACGGGGGCATCGCCATGGCATTGCGAACCACATGCCGAGACTTGTGCTCTTTTGTATCGTATTGGTTTGGGAAAAACACTGCCAGAGATTCCAAGTTGGGTGTGTGCAGAGGCAAAAGATTTCTTGTTGAAGTGTTTGGTCCATGATCCGAAGTCGCGATGGTCTGCAGACATGCTCTTAGGCCATCCATTTGTTTTAGCTACGGACAGTACTACAAAGGGTGTTAAGGAATTAAGAAGTTGCATTCTTCCAAGTGAAACAAGAAACACAGCATGTGATGATCATCACTTCAGAGTTCATCACTTGATCTTCTAATACAACATGCTATCAGCATTATTGGGTAGGGAAGAGAATTGCACAAGTGTATTATTCCTTGGAATTGTTGTGATAGGGTGGTCCCTCTTGCTCTATTTAGGCAAGAGAGCTAAATTCTGTTCTTTTTGTAAATGATTCTGTGCCCTTTTTGCTCTATTACCCCTAAATTCTGTTCTTTTTTGTATAAAAGATTCTGTGCCCTTTTTGCATCCCTGTTCTTTTTGCATCCTTTGATGCATCCAGCACTTTTTTGTGTGCTCTTTGCGGGTAATACTCAAATCTTAACTATTTTTGGTCCTTCACATAAACTGAAGAGTGAAGGATTGATGTTTACGGAGTGCATAACCTTTCTTTTTGGGACTCTTAGATTCTTTCTTGGCTTGTTCTTTATCATCACTAGAGAACATCATGCCTTAGTATAGCATGAAAACAAAGAAGGCACTTGGCTGACCCTTGAACCCTTACACTACTGCTATATCCCCAAGTCACTAATAATTTTAAAGCTTCTTTTGAGAAACAAAATCTCTGCCAAACCACATGATGCAGAAAAAACTGAAGCCACTTTTAAAGCTTCGACCTGATATTCCTCGAAACTAAACCACATTAAGAAAGTATTTCCAAAAGACCCAATTTAGCCTTTCTTTTATCCCCAAAAATAAAAAAATTTAACACTCCACTTTGTCATGTCCAGACCTTATATATTGCTTAATTTGTAAGCAGTTTAATGCTCGAAAATAAGTACCATTAGTAAAAATAGATATTGGATTAAATCATTTCAATACAGCAATTTATAAAACAAATAAAAATAAAATAATATAAAATAAAATAAAAATAACCATATTAAGAAAGTATTTGCTAGTCATCAATTACATCATATAAACGAGCCATGAAACATTTGAAGTTTCAAACATGCCAGTGAAACCAACAGGCAACTTTTATTGCAATCTAATTGATTCATCCAACATACAAGAATAGGCAAGAAACTCACCCACCCATTTGTAGAAGAACCCAAACTCAACCCTTATACCTACCTTGGGGCTTAGTGTTATCAAAAGGCCCAAGGCGCACTAAGGGGCTAGAGGTCCTTCAGAGCATAAGCAAAAGGAACGGCTTGGCTTGCAAGGCGCACAATTGAAAAATTAAATTTCTACTCGTATTAAATAAGCAGCAAAATTGAAAAATTAAATTACTATTAAAGCATATTCATATTCCATATTAAAGGCGCAAAGATGGTCAAAGGTACACCTCAACACACAAGAAGCACAAGTGTTGCACTTCTATGAGCCTAAAGCATAGGGGCACACTTAGACACACCTTTAACAACACTAACTAGGCTACACTGCCTTAGGTATCCAAGATATATATAACACACAAAAACAAACAAACATATATATATCTGAAAGATAATTTGCTCCATATATTTTTTAAATGTGTATGTTCGTTACTGACCATCCATACCAACTATCCATACCAAACCAAAGGAATCAGAGCGCAGAAAACATCAGATATATAATACCAAAACCATTCACCAACCTTTGCCCATATAATTGGAACAAGTTAGTAGTACCCTAAAAAAGAGAGAATATAATAAAACCTAACAAATAGCTAGCTTCTTTTCAATCCATACCCCAAATAAGGTAGCCAAAACTCATGCAAGACTTTGCAGCATTCTCTTTAAAACCAGTTACTTCGCAGCGCTGTGCTTAGCCTTTGTGTGTGATTGTAGTGCTTGATCAGAATTGAATGACCTGAAAGCAAAATTGGAGTGAATTTATATCATCCACAACTGGGGGATAACTTTAAGAAATCAAAAATAGACTTACTTGTTGCAAGTCTTGCAAGGATGTGAACCAGCGGATTTTGGAGTCTGCTGCTTTGGCTGGTTAGCAGGAGTCTTACCAGCCTGCTTCGAAGGGTGAGGCGTTGCCACATGGCCACCACTTTTCTTGCCATCTGCACCACCAAGAAAGGATGATCTCTTCAGCAATAAGCCACAAACAAAAGAAAAACCATGTGCTCAAGGGACTCTGAAAATCCACTTTCATACTAAAGCTGTAAATCCACTTTCACATTAAAGCTTTGTTTTTCTTTATATCATTTCTAATATTTCATATTTTTGCAATGCCCAAAAAAAATTAGAGGTTAAAATGGTACATTAACACAGATTACAATATCGGAGTACTATTCTGTCAGACAAAATATGCCAAGGAACTAAAAAAGCCATGGAAGACAATAAAAGCAAGAAAAAATTAAAATAAAAAGTAATTTAGTTTTTATCACACTGAAAGAGGTGAACAACAAAGTATAACATAACAATTGCAAGAAAATAAAGAGGAAGGGAGAGTACACATGACAAGCAATGATGGTAGTGAAAGATGGAAAATCACCTGTTTTTTGAGGAGTGACCAATTTTGCCTTCTTATCAGTACCAGGTGTTTTGCTAGCAGATTCAGCAGCTCTCTTCTTGCCAATTTCAACCTTCAGAAGCAAGAAATATTTGTAATTTAGCCAGTGATGAAAAGAGGAGAACTAATTTTACCACGGGGGAAAATGGTTGAGAACCATTGAATGCAGTTTCGCAACCATCCAATAACAAGTAGAAAATAATAAAAAAGAGAATTGATTCTGAATTTACCTTCTTTGGTGTCTCTTCATCGCTCTCATCGTCGCTCTCATCATCTTCCGAGTCTTCATCACTATCAGTCTCGCCTGTCTGTAACATAAATCACCACAGAATTTGTCATATTTAGGCAGTGCATTGTCCCAAATAAATTCATCTAGCACCAAAATTTAGAACCAGAATTAAATTTTAAACCACTATAGCAACAATCAAGACCAAAGAGATGCAGGAGATATAAAAAAAATAAAAACACAGTCAGCAATACTAATTCACAGAGGTTTATATGTTCAACATGCACCAACCTTATCTATTAGAGCCAGCAAATCAGCCCCATGTTTAAAGGTCATATATGAATAATGCTACACTTAAATATTAATTTTCCACCACCACCAATTACACATCCTACAAGCATAAACAGACAATACAAGAAGGGAGAGGAGAGGGGGAGTATCACACCTAAAACAAATTCATTGAAAAATGTCAAAGAAATAAATCAACATACAATAAAAATTAAAAAATAAGTTTCCCTACAATAAAAAAGTTTCCCCCGCATTAGGTTTAGGAATTGCATCCACATTTTTCAATTATACACATTTCCAACAATTTAGTGATTTTTCATGCTAAATTGATCTTTAATATGAAATTAAATATTATTAAAACCAAACTGTATATGTTTCGACAAAACTTGCTCTTTATAATAATGAGTGTTATCTAGTTAAAACACATTCAAAAGACCACAATTAAAATGAGTAAGTACCTCCGATTCATCAGATTCATCACTACTATCATCATCTTCTTTTGGTTTCTCATCTTTGTTCGGTTCCACAATCTTCACCTTTTGTTTAGACATAGTATTGACCTTCTCAGCTGCAGCAGGTTTCTCTTCCTTTGCATTTGACACGGCTTTTCCTAGGAAATCAAAACCACCCATACACATCAAAAGTAGTTCAAAAAAATACAACAAAGTAACAAATAATTTTGAATGCTGAAACTGGATTATCTACCATTGTCCACAGCAACAGGTAGAATATCATCATCAGAATCAGAACCTAACAGTGAGAAGTAGAAATGAGTGCATTGCTAAAAGATGGAAAATATAAGACTAAACAAGCAATTTCACAAACTCACCATCTTCCTCATCAGAAGTAACCATAAACAAGGCAGGAGGTCAAGGAAGACAACCACCAATAAACAAAGAAAAATAAAAGATACAGCTAATATTATAAAAGTGGCAAAAAGGACAAAGGAATTAAAATGCATAGACACTCAAAATCGGAATGGAAAACATGCACATAGAAACAAGAAAAGGATATTTATCAAATGGATTCTCCGCTTTATATCCAATAAAGTAGACACTGCCATTTTTCCAGTTGTGGGACAGCTCAAATTCTTTTTCAAACACCAAATCAAATACTTGTTGAGGCAACTTTTCAGAATTGAGTGTTCCAATAACATGCTTCTGGCCATCAATATTCAAAAACAGGCAAACATACTCATTCCCTTTGTTGTTGACCTCACCAAGACAAGCCTGTGAATGAGTAGCAGCATGTAATACACTTGTATGTAAATAGGAGGGAAGCAACAAATGAGAAATAAAAAGACCAACCAAACATAAGTGTTAGGCCTTCGAATATTACCTGTGAAAGATGCAAAACCTTGCCATCACCCGGTACCACTGAAACAGGATTTCCACTTTTAACTTCAACACCTGGACATCATTACATGTTAACAAGGTTTTAACAGGGTATACCGACTTTAGGGGTAATAAAAATTGAAACGACACACCAACACAAAATTAGCATGCTAGGATTAACTTTCATCAGTTTTTTGTCATAATCGTGTTAACAAGACTATCACATATAATTATTTGCTTCATGCTCCGGTCTGGAGCTCAACCACTTAATTAATTGTGTCATGTCAAACGAAATTGACCCGTAAAGTGTTTCAACCTTTATAATAGTAATATTTTATGAATTAGTATGGTACTATAGTGTAACTCATGTTAAACTTCAACACGCAGACATCATTACATGTTAAGAAGGTTTTAGGGTATACTGAAAATATAGGTCATGAAAATTGAAATGACACGCCAACACGAAATTAGCAAACTTGGATTAACCTTGATTGCTTTTGTGTCATAATCATGTTAACACGATTTAACACGATTATCCCGTTATATTATTTGCGTTGTGTTCAAGTCTGGAACTCAAAACCATTTATTTAATTGTGTTATGTCAACCCAAATTGGCCCATAACCTATTTCAACCTTCATAACTGTAGTATATATAAATTAGTATGGTACTATAGTGTAACTCTTGGTTAATTATGTGTTTTATAATTAGCCAATTTTTGTAATTCAATATTTTGTTTTTCTGTTTATATTAACATTTTATATTTAAGACAGAAATCATAAATAAATGGTTAAACGAATCATCCCATGTTAGAAGTTATAGGACCCATTTATTAATTAGGTGAACGTGTCATGTCACATCATGTTTAGTAAACTGGTCGTGTTCCAGTCAATCCTGACACAACACAAATCTGACTCTCTAAACACAAATTGCAACCCCCTGACACGTAAGGGCACAAAGAAGAAACATAAACAGTACAAAAAATGAAAGAAAAAAATTACAGCATCAAAAAACGACCCACAGAAAACATAAGGCGAGAGTATAAAAAACGACATGTGCATCAACAATTCACACGAACCTTTTTTTTTTGTTTTTTTGACAAGTATCAACAATTCATACAAACTACCAGAAGCTCTGTAATAGAATGCACAGGGAAATGTGAACCAACAGTGCCTGATTCAATGATATACATAAACTATGCATGGGTGCATATGCATCTACAAAGGGACGGAGCCAATAATTTGGTCTAGGGGAGGGGAGGTACTAACATATGATAAAATATAATTTTCAGTAAAAAGAAAAACTATGAGAGAATTTTAAAGGAAAAAAAATAGAGTTTAATTCAAGAAAGAAAATGCAATTTCGAAAATAATTCTAAAAATGAAAGAAGAAGAATAAGGAAGGAACATAATTTGAGAGATTTTTTGAAAAAAAAAAAAAAAAAAATTAGGGAGGGCATTTTATAGTATTTAATAATTGAATACATTAAAAATAAAGAAAATTAATGGGCCAACATGGGCCCAGAGGGGGCACTGGCTCCGTCCATGCATCTACATGCATATGTATGTTCATATCAATATATACTCTTAATGAAAAGAAAAAAGGGAACAAATCTTTCACACATAATATAACTTCAGCATAGTTGACCATACATGGGGTCAATCATAAACTGTCAACTGTAAAATGCATAGGCAACATAATTTCAAGGATGATACAAAGAAAAGTAACATAAAACTAATAAAACACTTAATCCCCTCAGCAGAAGTAAATATAATATAACTGAAACTCTACCCATAATATTATGAATCACAAACTTCATTCTAAGGCATGCAAAATATTTCAAAGCATGTACCGCCTTGCAGACAGTTCAAGCCTAATATTATGAATCAGCGCCTTCCATAAGCACTTCTAAAGACAGTTCATTATATATATACAGTCCAGAATGATGCATTTGGTTCATGAAAAATCTCAAGCGCTGGATAGAAGGGACCATAAAACATAAATTTCAGAAAAAAAAAAAAAAAAAAAATCCAAAGAACAAATCCAAAAAATGGGAAGACAATTGATACAAAATTCTATTGAGTTGGTCCCTCAAGTACCTTCAAAATAATTAGCGTATTATTTTACCCTATAAAGTATGTCATCCTACGCCTCCGACCCCCCTCCCCCCACAAAAACAAAACAAAAACAAAACAACCAAGAGCAGGACGATACGACGATACCTAATGTTTAGCATAAATTTGCATAGCAGCTGCCATGAAGTACATTGTGAAGCAATCTATAATATTTAATTCAACTAACAAAGTAATGGTTTATCATGTGATTTTGCTGTATCCATAAATGAGCAGGACAATACGACAATACATAATGTTTAGCATTATTTTGCATAGCGGCTGCCATGAAGTACATTGTGAAGCAATCTATCAAATTTAATTCAACTAACAAAGTAATGGTTTATCATGTGATTTTGCTGTATCCATAAATGTTATCCCTCACAACATTCAAATGGTTGTGGAGATAACAAAAGGACCAAAGAAAAAAGAGCTTGCAACATTCAAGTGGTAGTGGAAGTAACAGAAATACCAAAGAAAAAAGAGATTGCAACAACAAATTTGTAGAAAATGAGTAATAAAAATATAACAGGCAAATAAGTTTTGAATTTTAAATGAGTTCATGATATTCAGCGCCCCTAAAATACCAATTTTAGCTCATCACTATTATATCTAATATACCTACTACATATCTTACAATAAATGATAACCACTTAACCAGCATTGTTGTAATAAAAATCTCAAGTCAAAAAAAATGTGAAAATATATCAAAACAGGAATGGTAAGAGTGACATATCAGAACCTCTTCCTAATACTACATCCATGCATATCTGAACATTCATTTCATTTCAGTATTTATAACCAATTTTTCGCCAAATTATTCATGGAAATACATCAATATATAACTTATTAAACTCCTCTAATTCTCAAGCCCTGCTCTGTAATATAGTTCTTACAAATTGAAGAAACGCAAAGCACCATGATGCTTAGATAACACGTCTCAGATCCACCAGTTCAACAGCAAAAGAAAACATGTTCATACACAGAATTAACATGTTTGAACAACAAACCCAGCATGAAACAAATATATAAACTAGCTCCGATTTTTTGTTCCCCTAAGCAAGTATATTTAGAAGTTGAGAATCCATATACGAACATGAAATGCAAAAACCGAAGCAAGTATATATACAAAGTTGTAAGTGCGAAAAATATATGTGTAAATGTGCCTGCGTATGAGTGTGTGTATACACAAAAACAAACCCCACACATCTGCGTGAAAGAAAAAGTAATAACAGTTACAAACTAGAAGAACATGGTAAAAAAAAGATCAAAAATGAAGAGAGGAGACAGTAGGTGAGATAATATTACCCCAGAACTCCATTGATCGATGTGAGAGAGAGAGAGAGAGAGAGAGAAAGAGAGAGAGAGAGACGGAGAGTAGAAATTGAAAAGAGGGTCGAAATGAAAGGTTTTAGGGTTTGGATGAGAGAATATAAGGGAGGGTCGGGGAAGGGCTATGATACCATACGGCGAGGACTACCACAATTCAAATTGAATTTGAATGATGTGGTCGATCGGTCGTCTCCAAATGGGTCATTCTAGAAAGAAAAAAAATGGACGCGATAGCCTGTATGACCTACGAAATTTGTAGAGGAATAATCCTTTTTTTGTTCAAATTTTTAATAACACATTCGTGGTTTTATCTAAATATATATCAAAATGTTAAATTTTGAATTTATAAATATTTAACATTCATGTTTTTATCCAAGTATGAAATATATATCAAAATGTCAATATCTGAATTTATAAAAATTTAAATGATCAAAGTTTTGATACATTTTTTTTCTTCTCAGGGTTTTAATTAATTCAATGTAAGCTGACTATTTCAAATCTGGTTATTTATAAAATTCATTTATTTTGATACTGAAAAAGATTTTGGACAATCACTTATAAGCCTGAATGGTTGAATAAGGTGAGTTTGAGACGATACAATTGTGATTTATTATTACTTATCTTAATTTACAATGAACTATTACTGCGGAGTACTAGACAATTTTATAATGAAGCATTCATTTTTATTTTTTTTACTCTAACCTTTTGGAAAAATAATAAATAAATAACCACCAATGATCATAAATGGGCCCTTTACCATCTTGTATGAATGGGCCATTCTATTTGTACATTCTCATTCAAAAGGTGCTTACTTAAAATCTCATTCTGCTCTATTGATTTATCCTTTTGTAAAAAATGACTAGACCTTTTTTTATTTTATTTTTTTTATTGTCAATAAATTCACATACCTATTTTATTTCTTTAAAAACTTAAACATTTGTCATCCACTTTGGAATGACAGATAAGATACCACTGGATCATAAGGCCTTTATAAAAAATAATAATAATTAAAATGTTATAACAAAAAATATAAGTAGAAATTACTTCCACAATGCAATTGATAGTAATTAAAAATTAGACAAATTAAAGAACTACCTTTTGAAAAAAGAATGAAATCAAGTAAAATGTATTTGAAAAAGAGTTAATCGGACCCAGGTGGTATAGTACTCTATTGCAGAAAAAGTCCAGTACATGGTTATCCGTTCACCTGGTAGCCTGCTGGTTTAGGGCTTCAACCCTAACCAACAAGCCAATATTTGAGACTATTATAAACTATAGAGAGAGAGAGAGAGAAAGCCCAAAGACACAAACCCAAACCATAAACAAAGACAAAAACATAGCCCACCCAACCACAAGGACTACTGATAAACCAACTGCCATTTGAAAAGTGAAGTTGGGGCTGTTAACCAGAACAGAGGAGACAGCCAAGAAGGTAGATGAGCAAAGAATTCTCTCCGTTGTTGGAGAGGTGCAACACAAAATTTAGTAGTTGAGATTAAATTGATAAATAAAATTCACGTATTAGTGGTGATGTAATCTTAACCACTAAATTCTGTGCAGGACTTTTCCAGCAATGGAGACTTCTCGCGCTTGAAAGGATCTTTGTCCGCTAAGAGACTCTAAGCAGCAACAACATCACCATGGATGGCAGTGGACATGATTCGGAGAAGCAGTCTTTCCGGAGATGGTACACGGTAATTCTTTTCCTTCCATATGTGATAGCTATTAGATGCTTCCAGTAATGCATAGTTTGTAAGGAGTTTGTAAATAATATAATATAACCAATTATCTAATTTAATTAGCCACACCGCGAAGACTAGAATCACCACCGTAAATTCCACAGGCATGTCAAAGTGCATCCATATAATTGGGAAAATTTTGGCGTCGTTAATCATCAAAGTTAAAATTAATTCATAACGCAAAATTGATCTATTCATGGTCAGACCCCAATTTCTTTTTCCGTTATATTATTTTTTTTTTTTTGGTTAAAAATGTGCAAAATGATAATTTTATTTCTGTTTTTAAAATATATTTTAATCCAACCTATCAAAAGCCTGAATTAACCAATTTGCCCTAATTTATTACTCTGTCACCCCCCAAAACTTTTCATCTCACTGTTTTCTCCACAAATATATATTTTTTGGTGTATATGATGATATATATATATATAAAGAATAATTTTAAAAAATTATTATAAATTTATAATTATAATTTGCTTTTAAAAAATAATTATAAATTTGGTTTTAAAAAATAATTATAAATTTATAATTATAATTTGGTTGGTTTAAATAATGAGAAATAATAATAACAATAATTTTAAATTTATATAATGAGGTCAAAGGGTATTCAAGTCATTTCAACCATTTTTTTTTTAAGCTAACATATAGTTAAAAAGGTAACAATGCTATTTTATATGCAAAAAGATATCTGACACACTTTAAAAATAACTTTTGGGGTGTAAGTGAAAAAAAAACTAAATGTTTGTATTGTTTCATCAATTTATCGTAATAGAAAATCAACTCGTATCAACCAATCGAATTTGTTGAATAAAGGTAATATTAATTATATAAATTCTAAATTTCTAATACGTTGATTAATTTAACATGTCTGTCACGTAAGGTATAATCATACTTGCAAAAAGGTAGGATATTAAAATATCTTGATTACTTGTTTTTTGAAAGATGATTTAATGTGATATTTGGTCAAAGTAGTGAAATAATGGCATATATGAAATAAAAATTATTACAACAATGACATAATTTTATTTTCTAATTTATTTCAGAGCAACTATTAGTATAGATATAGAAATTATAAATGAATTAAAGTTTTATAATTCTATTACTGAATAAATATATAAAAAATATATATATATATTTAGATGTAGCCATGTTCAGGCCGTATCATGATGCAAGGTGACTCTACCCGAGAGGACTAAAGGTTTAATAATAATTATATATTTTTTAAAATAATTAAATAAACATTTTTGACGGTCAAACTGATTCAACGATGGCCTGTAAACCACACACACACACACAATCACCTTTGTGCAAATAAGAACTTAAATCGGCACATTTTCCTTTGACGTGCACAATTTGTTCCAGGATATCCCCATTTAACAAATGCGCTAGTACAGCGTGGAAAAGAATTTAAACAGAATACTTTATCAAATACACACACTAGTACTGTGCGTGGAATTGGAAAGGCAATCGCATTCACTCGTCAGTAGTAGAATTTATATTTAATTACAGGCATCAAAATCAGCAAAATATTAGACGTACACCCACCCACCAACCGAAAACCGTAACCCTTCAATCTCTCTCCGACAAGGAGAAAAAGAGAAATTCTAGAGAGAGAGAAAGCAAGCAGCTCATCAGACGGTCTTTTTTCAACAAATAGAACCGACATGTGACAATGGTGGTTTAAAGGGTTTTTGTGAATTGAGCTACTCCTTGGAGCTTCTCAATGGAAATGCCTGGTAGACGATCGAATAATTACACTCTGCTCAGTCAGACTCCCGACGACCACCACCACCAGCACCCGCCGAAGTTCTCCGCCTTGTTCGGCGGTGCACCCTCTTACTACGAGTCTCTACCAGGCGACAAGAACAAAATTAAGAACGATAGAGGTTTTGATTGTGACCTATCTGATAATCGGATGATTCATCAGCCGAGTCGAATTGGGGCGGGACCGTTTCCGGTGTCGATCGGGCTGCAGACGCAGTCCAGCGGGAGTAGTTTCGGTGAAAGCTCGCTTTCGGGGGACTACTACGTTCCGTCGCTGTCTATGGCGGCCAGCGATGCGGATACGTTCGGTCAGTTCCGTGATGATGTATTCAGGATTGGTGGTGGTGGCGGCGGCGGCTCATCATCATCGAAGAGTTGGGCGCAGCAGACGGAAGAGAGTTACCAATTGCAGCTGGCTTTGGCACTTCGGCTTTCGTCCGAAGCTACCAGTGCTGATGATCCCAATTTTCTGGATCCGGTATCGGATGATTTGGCGTTAAGATCATCAACGTTGTCTGGTTCAGCACAGGTTATGTCACATCGATTTTGGGTAGGTCTATCACTGCTCTATTCTCAATGCCGCTGAACATTAATGATAGAATTTTGTCTTTAATTTCCTTGGAGAACCCTGTTTTCCATTGAATTGCATTTTTCTTTATGAATTACCGGTACAACTAAAAATTTATTTATTTTTTTTGATTAATCCGGATCATTTGGCTTTTAGAGATACTGAAATGTAGAGGCACAGAGAAAATTATCATGTCATCTAGGGCCTATTTGGTTCAGTTTCTAGAGAAAAGATTCGAAGAATGGAAAACAGTTTGAAGATCATTCGGTTGACATCATTCCATAGAGAAAACAGATAAAAAGAAACCTATTTTCATGTGAAACGAGTTTGAGGATATTTTAAATGTAAGTGAAGCTGACATTTATGGAAGGGTTGTGGCTATGATCTAGAAACCCATTGTCCCAGTTTGAATCCTTATCCACGTTCTCTATAACTATGCTAGTATAAATGCTTAACCACCATCCACTCTAAAATTTTAAATGGTTAACCCATCCACTATAAAAGTTTAATTGTTGGGAGGGTGTCACCTTAGTATATATCCTCTCAGACACAACCCCTCATGCGGTATTATTTTTGCCCAACACTTGTATTAATTATAATTTTTGATGATGGTTATTTTCGAACTCAAGACCTTTCCTACTCTGATACCATATTAACTACTGTTTACTCTAAAAACTTAAGGATGCAACTTAAGTATTTATACAGATGATTCTGATTGAAATATTATTTATACCGATGATTCTGGTTGAAATATTATCGGGCAACGTTAATAGGAATTTTATACACTTGTTTAGTTAGAAAAGTCTAAGAGGAGAAAAATTGATTACTTGAAAATGTAATATTTTGATGTCTAAAGGTGGAGTAACTTGTGTTACTCTGCCTCAGTGATTTGATGCTGGTAACACAAATATTGTTTTGCCATTTCACTCTGATTAGAATTATAACTTTTGTGTGTGGTCTCTTATTATCTCATAATTTTAGAGTTGTCCTTTCCCTTACATTACTCTTGGAGTGCATTTAGATTGAGGGAGTTGGAAAGTAAGGAAAAGAAATAAAAGGAGGAAGGAGTTATCATATGTTTGGTTTCCAGAATGTGGAAGGACTGAATGGAAAAGGAGAAGGAAATATTTGTTAACCCCTTGATCATTGTTTTAGTTAACCTCCTTTAAGTGGGAGGACATGGAGTGAAATTATAAAGGAATCAGCGATTACCCTTTTTGTTTATTCTTTTATAACAAGTACCTAAATCCCCCCCCTTTTCTCTTTTTTTTTTTTGGGTCCTTTTCTTATTAATATTTTTTATAAATAAGATAAAGAATTTAACACTATCATTTCCTTTTTTTAGTTAACCAAACTAGAGGAGGGGTTGGTTTTATCAATTAAAAAATAAAAAATCTTCTCTCTCTTAACTAACACTGTCCTTCCTTTCTATGAAGCACGAACATGGATACAAAATGCAGACATGACATGATACGATATATTCTTAAAAAATAATATATACATATATTATATTAATGTAGATATGTGTAAAGATTACAATATATATGTATCCATGTATACATTTTAAATAATAATTGTTTATCATGTTATACATTTATATTGTTACTAATATTTCCTTCTAGAGGAATTATTACAAAGCTGATAAATATATTACATTAACATAAAATTTGGACTAAATTAGCAATGATACATTCACTTTATATCTTATTACTTATTTTTAAGAAGAAATTCTAAGCTTTTCTCCCTTTTTAACTACAAGACTATGATATTATACTTGGAAAAGTCACATTTCAATTTTAAACACTAGTTAAACATGTGTTCTGAAGTATATAAAAATTATTGGATAAGTTGCTGAAGTAATGTAGAATTATTAGATACGTGTTCGAAATAAAAAATTATTTTTAAATTATAAACAAGGTTATCGACATTAATCCATGAGTATCTGGGTAGTGTCAGTTTTAGATACAAACAAGATATGAATGCATCTCCCTTGCAAAAGTATTCTTGTTTTATAGCTTCCCTTTCTTTTCTCCCTAATTATCAGATACAAACAAGATATGTTTTTCTTGAATATGCCCAAACTATCGTAATCAGTTTTTTCTCACTTTATTTTCAAACTGAACCACTTCAATTATCTCACTAATGTTTTTCTTTCTAATTTTATCATTTTCTCTGCTCTCCCTTCACCATGATGAATATGTTTTTTCTTTTTTCAGTTTTTGTTTTTGTTTTTTACCCAGTCAACATTTTTTGCCCTGAAAAGCGTAATTGATTTAATGGTTGTTTGATTGAATTTTTCTTCTAACTTTAATGTCATTCACATAGTATACTAGAGGCACTTCTCCATTTAAACAATCATTTTTCAATTCTATTTGGAAAGTCCCTTCAGTCTCTCAATCCCTTTGAATAATTGTGTGTGGAATGTGAAATTCTTTACTCTTAGGCATCTTTTGACCTTCAATCTTCCCTTGTTCTCATGTTTCCATCCTAATTTTGCTAGTTATTTTAAATATACTGTGTTTTTTCTTAGTTATCTTGAACCTCTAACATATAAATTTGCTCTTTAATCCTCTAATGTAACAATTATCCTTACTCTAGTTTCATTAGAGATTCTAGTAGTTTCTAGGCAGGGAATCAGTTACTGCATGCTATGTTTTTAATTTATCCAATCAATTCATCTAAATGTAAAAAGATAAGGGTTAAAAGTTGACCTTTGATGTATGATATTAGCTTATAATGAATGAAAATTTTCACTTTATATATATATTGGAGTTGCACTTTCTATAGTTACAATTCCATCATTTATGTCATTTATTATGTTGTATATCTATTTGTGATAGAGCGGTAAAAACTCGAGCTATTAAGCATGAGAATGCGGGTTAGACTGGTTAGTGTACGAGGGAAGCCACTTTGTGCAAAAAATTCCAATGGTTAGGTATGTATCCAAGCTATTCCTTGTAGCACCTTCGATTTTTGAAGAATACAATTGGTGATGGATTTTTTACCATCTTATATTTATAGGGACTGTACCATAGGATTTTCAGCAAATCTATGAGAACCATATTATGCGTAGTTAAGTGCACAATTTTGTTTTATGAGGCTCCATAAAATGAAAAAGATTTAATAAAAAGTTAAATTTTTTGTTCTTTTTCGATTTTGTCATATCTCCTCAGTAATGAGATGGTGTATAAAGAATGGTCAAGCAATATAATCATCATGTTATGCTTTTTCTTTTTGTTGTTTGGAAGAATGTATATAAGGATACAATCATACAAATCACTATACAATATTGTGAATGTACTTATACTGAAAATATAATAATTGCAATTAGGATTGACTTATCATGCTTTCCAATTTAATAGGTGAATGGCTGCTTATCATACTTTGACAAAGTTCCTGATGGGTTTTACTTGATTCATGGGATCGATCCATATGTATGGACCGTATGCACCGATAAACAAGAGAATGGCCGTATTCCATCAATTGAATCACTGAAGGCTATTGATCCTATCATCAATTCTTTGATCGAGGTAATTTTGATTGATCAGTATAGTGATCCTAGCTTGAAGAAACTACAAAACAGGATACATAGCCTATCCTATAGTTGCATTACCACAAAAGAGGTTGTTGACCAGCTTGCAAAGCTTGTCTGCAATCGTATGGGGTAAGTTTTCAATGATTTCCATTCAGAAAATCCTGGGATTATTTCTCTGTTGTAGTTTATGTGACCGAGTTTTACTGCCATCAAGGGGTTCAGCTTCCACCGGAGAAGGCAACCTTGTTTCCTTATGGAAGGAGTGCAGTGAAGACCTTAAGGATTGTTTGGGGTCTGTTGTGCTTCCAATTGGTAACCTGTCTGTTGGCCTCTGCAGACATCGTGCTTTGCTATTCAAAGTATGTTTCAGATACTATATTATGCAATCATTTATATTCAAAGTATGTTTCAGATACTATATTGTGCAATCATTTATTTTGTTATAAGATTTTGAAGTCACCCCTGTAGGAGATATTTTAGTGCCTACTTTTCACCTTACCATTTTATTCTTCATGTGGGTTAAATTTTTTTTGTTCTTGTTTTGTTTTATTTTTGGTTTGTTGTTGCTGTTGATTATATTATTCTTTTGGTTTGAACCTAGGTGCGGAGCACGTTACTCTTTTTTTTGGGTGGGTGGGGGGGAGTGGTGTCTTTTATGAGGGATTCATATGAACTGTAAATATAATTTTTGCAGGTGCTAGCTGACACAATTGATTTACCATGTCGAATTGCCAAGGGTTGCAAACATTGTACAAGAGATGATGCTTCTTCTTGTCTTGTTCGTTTTAGTCTTGACAGGTATACCTTTTAAACTACCATGGGAATGATTTTCATGTTTATTTTGGTCAATGGCAAGAAATGAATCCTAAACACGTCAGTTTTGATGCCTTTCTATCATGCTAAAATGGCCTTGGATGAATGGCATCTACTAGTGCTATGAACTGTACTTTCTTTGGTCAAAGATTATCATTTGGAAGCTTACCCTTTAACCAAAAAAAAATTATCATTTGGAGAGAAGTGTGAAACTGATGCAGTCTTCTCATGAAATATATTTTCAGAAGAAGTTATTCTTTCTATGTTTCTTTATTTTTTTAATAGTTTATGAGGGGTGACACACAATATGCTTGTGTGTATCTTATCTCAAATTCTCTCTTCATTTCAGCTACATCTGTTATTTTCCTCTCTAGAATTTTTTTTGAATAGTTGAAGTTGTGAATGATGCAGCACAACTGACTTTCTACCTTTCCTTGGGTTACTACTTGTATCTTTACCCTGCAAACTATGGCAGAAGTATTAAAAAAGAATGGAAGGTTACATCATAAATAGTGGCTTTGTGTCATAATATAGATTCCCACGAGAATTGTTTTTTGCATCTACTATTAAAGTATGATGTTGTAAGGGGATAATGATCACTCATATTGAGGTGAATAATTCTTCATAGCAGCTTGCTTAAAGTATGATTGGCATTTTGGAATCAAGCTGGAATATCTGATCTGACTTGGTTTAGGCCACTCTTAATTTCTTGAGAAAATTGTTTTCGGAATTATTATTATTATTATTTTTGATAAGTAAAGTTTATGGAATTATTTTGAAACTTGGTATTATTTCAGGGAGTATCTAGTTGATTTGATTTCGAAGCCAGGCTGCTTATGCAAGCCCGATTCTTTGCTTAATGGTCCATCTTCTATCTCAATTTCTTCACCATTGCGCTTCCCGTGCTGCAGACAAGTTGAACCTGTGATTGACTGCAGGTCACTGACCAAATATCATTTCTCAGACTTTCAAGCACTTGATATTGTATTTGATGAGTCTTCAACAGGTGATATCTTTAGTTCTTGACATTCTTATCCACATTATGGTGACTTATTTTTATATTCATGCACTTCTGTTTCCTTTTTAAACAGCTTATCATGACTTTACTGTATCATGGAAGCTGCTTATATCTTTAGAATTGTCTCTATTATTCACCAATTTGCCAGTTGATCACATTCTCCATGGTATTTATCTGCAATAAGATGGAAAGTTCAAATTATTTTAATGATTATAGTACTTAAGCTCCGATTTTGATTTAGCGCTTATACACATGCACACACACACATATATATATTCTTTTATCAGAGCTACTCTGATAAACTTTCTCCTTATTCTTCACTAAGTGAAGGAGATGAGGTCTACAAGACATCATTCTGTCCATTCTCAGAAACACAAGGCACAAGGCACAACACAAGGCATGAGTCTGAGCGAAGGCGTGCACGTGATATAAATGTATATTAGATATACTTGTTGGTGAATTAATTTGAAAAATGTGACTTAAGCTACTCAAAAATCTAAAAGAGGGCACTTTTTGGCTTATAAATTAGGAGAGTTTATAAACTCAAGTACATTAATCTTTTCAATTTATCTATGCATTTAACCAAACAAACACCACACAAATGTGAAAAAATAATACGCTTCAATCATATTGATTATTATTATATAAAATGTTGTCATAATTATTTCTTACAAGTATATTATATAAATATGCAGAATTAAGAATCAAATACTCCCTCTGTCCCACAAAAAGTGTCCCGTGTTGGGAACCTAACTTTTTTAAGAGTAGTTTTAATTATTATTATTATTATTTTTATTTTTATTTATGGTAGTAGTGAATGAATTTCCAAATATACCCTTCTATGGTGGGTCCCCATGAGGTCTTATCAAACTTTAATTGCTTTTATAACTTCAAGGAAAGAAGGGTAAATTAGGAATATTTAAAAATAGTATATTGGATTTTGATTTGGGGCAATTATTTTGGTACGACCAGAAATGGAAAGGAGGACACTTTTTGTGGGATGGAGGGAGTATGATCAAACAATATGATTATTTGCATAAAAGCTTGATATTTACATATATATTTAAAAGAAAGAAAAAGAAAAAAAAAAAATGTGGCGCGCTTTTCTTGGGCATGGAGTCTACCGCAAAAGATTTGTTGAGTGTAGTGCCTGCAATATATTGAGGTGCCAGGATTTCTCAGAATTTAAACACAAGGCACAGCACAGGACATGCTGAGGGAAGTAAGGCGTGCATCTAATATTAATGTATATTAAATATTCTTGTTGGTGAATTAATTAAAAAACTACAACTCAAGCTAGTCAAAAATCTAAAACGAGGGATTTTTTGACATGTCAATTAGGAGGGTTTAGTAAGTCAAGCACATTCCTTTTCAATTTATGAATGCATTTAACTAAACAAATACCACACAAATGTGCAAAAAATAATAGGCTACAATCCTACAGATTTTGAATATTTATTATACCATCATAATTCTTTTTAAAGTAATTATAAATAATATTCAGAAATAAGCATCAAATACACGTGCAGTTCAACTACTCAATCATAAACACATAGATACCTATCACTAAATATCTAATATGATTAAACAATCATCATCACCACCATCATCCTTGCCTTCATCCCGTACAAACGGGGTCGGCCACATGGATTCTCTTTTTCCAATCTTTTCTGTCTTGAGTCATTTCTCCTACTAGATTTAATTTTTTAAATAATTTCTTATGAATTCATTCCATGTTAGTTACTGTTGACCTCTTCGTCTCGTACCTTCTATATAAATCAATCTACCTCTTGATTCTAGAATAAACAATACAATTAGGTGGTAGTCAATCGTTGCTATATGTGCCTTCGGGATGAGGAAACTGTGGATCACCTTCTCCTCCATTGCACCATGGCCAGAGACTGCTGGGATTTGATGTTTGGCTTGTTTGGGCTCCTTTGGGTTATGCCTGGATCCGTTAAAGGGGTGATTGAGGCTTGGAGAGGTTGCCCTGTGGGGGCTCACATTCAGGATGCTTGGAGGGCTACGCCTCTTTGTGTGCGGTGGTGTATTTGGCTCGAGAGGAATAGGAGATATTTTGATGGGAAGGAGATGTCGATTTCTACTCTCAAATTCTCTATTCTTTCTACTCTTTTTTGTTGGGTTTCAGGGAGAGATCATAGTTCTATTGAGGAAATTGTAGATTTTTTGACCTCTTTGAAGGCTTAGAGGTCCTTTGTGGCCTTTTTGTTTTTCTCTTAGGAGCGCTTTTATAAAATTTTCTTATCAAAAAAAAAATCAGCAATACAATTATTTGCATAAAAATATGATATGCTATAGAGCATGTCAATCAATATATTTTAAAGAAATAAAAGAAAAATATGGTGCGGCTCTCTTGACTATAGAGCCTGCTATAAAGCGCGTGTATGTGGGTTTTTAAGTTTTCTCATTGAAGGAGTCTTGGCTGAAACAAAATAAGGTAGAAATAAGGTATTTCGGTTGAATCTTGACGAGTATTGGGCTTTTTGAAGCCTAGACAAGCCTTTAACAAGTCTGTATCATCTCAAAAGATATAAATAGGACAGCTAGTATTTTAGGTGTTGAAAGGCACTTGTGGTAGCAATGGTACCCCCATAGCCAGTTTATTGATCCTCTTGATTCTATGGTCAGTTGGGTTGGTTTGAGGCCTTGGACCTGGTCTACAAAGGTGTAAGGTATAAGTCCACATAACAATATCAATGTTGGATTTGGGTCTGAGTCCTTGGACTAGATCTATAATTGGGTGAAGCAGTAGTCCAAATGAAAAGTATTTCTATGCACCATAAATAAAGCGGTGGCGTTTTCTATCATTGTCAACCATGGCATGGCTTCATTACAAGAGAAGGACCGGTTAGCACTTATAAAACAAAATTAATATGCTAAAATATATAAAAGGACTAGTTAATAATACTTCAGTCAATTTGGCCACATCAATGCAGACAGAACATTGATAATTTTGAACCTTCCAATTTCTAGAGCAATGGAAGACGAGATGCAAAAAACTTTTTAAAAAATTTTAAAGTGTTTTTCCGCGTGTGTATGAATCCTATGCTTGTTTTGTTGTACATAACATAAATTTCCACTTTCCTTCAGTTTACTAAGGAAATAGTTTCATGTGAAGTTTATTTCTGACACATCATAGTGTGATGCTTTTAAGTATATATTTATATATATTCTTAATGGTTTTGGGGTGAATAATTAATACAGTTGCTAAATTGTTGTTTCAATGATCATCCTAGTGATTTGGTATTAATTGATTTTTGAATGTTCCAAAAAATAATGCCACAGGTGATGCTGGAGACTCCATCTATCCTAAGCAATCTGATAGGAAGTGCATGCCTAGTTCGAGCAACAACAATGAAAGTTCTCAATTACCCCTGCCATCAAGAGTTGCCTGGCCAATTACTCGTGATAGAGATCCACAGCGGTTCGAATCATGTAATTATCGTAATACTATAAGCTCGACAGAGATGCAGTCCCTCTAAAGCACACCCCACCAATAGGGCATAGAGAAATTCAACCATTAATGGCCCTGTCTAATCTGAGTGTTGATACAGTTGCAGATTCGAGGTTTATGGAAGGAGGTCAACTAAATCCAAGTAAACCAAGTAAAGAACTTACACTTGATGTGGGAGATTTGGACATTCCATGGAGTGATCTTGTTCTAAAGGAGAGCATTGGAACAGGTAATATTTTTTCCCAGGTCATAAGAACATTGCAGAGTGTATACACTGGAGTTGTTTTGTGGTATAGGGATGCCATGTATCTTTTCTTGCTTGTATTGCAGTTCTATTCAATTAACTTGTACGAAGCTATGCTGAAACAAAACGTATTTTCAGGTTCTTTTGGCCGTGTCTATCGTGCTGATTGGAATGGCTCGGTAAGTTATTCATCCTTTGTTTACTGAATTACTGTTCATTTATGCACGGATATCCATTTGATGAGTTCTAGTATATTACTTTGGCATTATCAATGTCTCATATTTCTAATATGCTGCACCTTATTTGGTCTCCGCTACACAAACCACTGAATAATTTGGAGGTGGACACCCATCTTGGGATGGATGAGGAAATTCTCTAACTAATGAAGCACCCCATGCAATTTGTATCCTAAAAAATCTCTCATTCCAAATTCATTATGGTACATTCGATAGTTGGGAGTCTCTGGAATCTTCATACTCCATAGCTGGGAAGATCAATAGATATTATTATTCCTTCTGGCGGGCCAACAAAGTCTTGCCCAAAACAGAAATATTTTTCTTTTAAGGTTTTTTAACATTCTCAAATAATTCAGATATGATGTTGGAAATGAGGATAGAAATCTGACAATATCTTTCGAATTGTATCGATCCTATTAAATACCACCAAACTTATATTTTGACTGGGTTGTCCTTTTTGGAACTCTTGATACTGAACTCAGCAAACTATTCATGGAATATCTGATACACAATTGCCTGTCCAATAGCTCCAAATAACATTGTGTTCAGGATATTGTCACAACCCACCCACATCGTGTAGATATTGTCCGCTTTGCACACTCTCCTCTCGGTGCTCACGGTTGGCCTGACCTTCACGGTATTGTCCACACTTCCCTTATTTCCTTTTGGGGATTGGTTCTGATACCATTTGTCAAGACCCATCCACACCATGTAGATATTGTCCGCTTTGGCCACTCTCCTCTTGGTGCTTACAGTTTTTCTCAAAACTCGTCTACAAAGTAGTGGCACATATGTGTGGGAATCCCATCCCTATATAGTTGGAACTTGGAACTTATTCAGTGAGATCAGTATGTGACCATTAAGTATTACTCGTGGAGATTTGTGCACTTGCACTGCTGACTGTAGCTTTGATCACAATTAAAATTGATTTGGGTTCAAGTTTGAACTTCTGGCAATATAAGTAAAACTCCTGGAATATTTTGTGTTTGCTATTCCCTCGGGGTATATATTGATCCATGCCTAAATTGCAAGTAAAATTCTCTCGCTCCTTTTCTTATTCTTTTGAAATATCTTCTTTTGATACCCCTCTTTTAGATTTTGGCTTGAATAATGTTAATTCATTTCTATACCTCTTTGCCATCCCGTTAAATCTTTGACTAAGAGTTGAACTGTAATTAGCAAGTAATATGCTAGGCTTGGTGGCTTCATCCTTTATATTTTTTAATCTTATGATAGCTGTCACTTGCAGGATGTTGCCGTGAAGATTCTTATGGAACAAGAATTTCATGCAGACCGAGTTAAGGAATTTTTGAGGGAAGTAAGTGCGGGCTAAATTTCTGGATGAGTTGGGCTGGCTTAAGAATATAAGCTCATTAATATTTCCTTTTATTATTGTTACTGCTAATTTTTTATTTTTTATTTAATTCTGCTGCTTCTGTTTGCTAGGTTGCAATTATGAAAGGCCTGAGGCATCAAAATATAGTTCTTTTTATGGGTGCTGTTACTCAGCCCCCAAACTTGTCCATAGTCACAGAATATTTACCAAGGTTCTGTTTTGTTGATTTAGGTTCCATCTCCCGTACATTAAATAATGCAATCAGTGATCAATAGTATCTTAAGAACTAATTATAATATTATCTTTGAACTGCAGAGGTAGTTTATATAGACTTCTACATAAACCTGGTGCAAGAAAAGTGTTGGACGAGAAGCGTCGTTTGTGCATGGCTTATGATGTGGTATGAGTTTGGGTTTTGAGGACTTCATTTTTGTTACTTTTAATTTTTTAATACATGCTTATTGTGCTCTATTTCTCTTATAGACATCTTGCTTGCTTATTCATCAAAATTGAAATAATTCTCCCCCCCTCCCCTCTCTTCTTTTTTTTAGTGGGTATTTATAGTTTCACGTTGTTTTGGGCTTAATATTGTTGTTGTTTTGTATAGGCAATGGGAATGAATTATCTTCACAAACGCAATCCTGCCGTTGTTCATAGAGATCTGAAATCACCAAATCTTCTAATTGACAAAAATTATACAGTGAAGGTACCTATTCTTTTACTTGATGGTGATCAGTGAGTTAGGCAACTGTGTTTATGGTGAAAATTAAATTCTGTTACCACTTATAAATTGGAATTTTTGGTTCAAAACCTTTGCAGACCTTGATGTTTTTGAATTTGAAAATTCTTTCTATTTAGTTTCGCAACCATTATTATTGTACCATGGTTGTTAATGTTACCTTCATTAATATCGGTCCTTCGAATAGATTTTGGGTGACAATTATTAATCCCACACATTGAAGCCAAATAAACTGTCCATATTGGCAATGCCCTGCTGAATGACACATAATTCATCGACTAGTTTGAATCTGAGAATGGAAATGATTTGGGAAAAGATAAATTTGCTAATTAGGCAAAGTTGTTGAAGTTCAATATCCAAACTATCCCACGATTCCCACCAGTAGATTCTGAAAAAAAAAAAAAAAAAAAACATTTGAGTGCTAAAACTGCATTGCTGAAGTCTGAAAGGCACTGTGAGGTTATTAGAACTTAGCGTTGCCAAAATTTTGTAGCAGAACCTGGAATCTGTGAATTTTATTTTTATTTTAAAAGTTGGTTTAGTTAGATAGAGCTAGAATTTACCATGTAGTTGTGGTCACTGACGACACAATAATTGAAGATCAAAAGGGTAAAATGGCAAATTCACCTCTTGAGTGTAAAATGGCAAATTCATCTCGAGTTACTAACTCACCAATTAGAGTTAATAATCATGCATTCTTATCATTGCTTACATTAGGACACAATGCATACATGTTTTGATCCATTAAAAAGATGTTTTGAGTGCATGAAATTATTTTTGAACGAATATATTTGAATATTTTGAATATATTTGATGTAACAAAGCCTTCGGCAACGGTCCATATTTTCTTTGGGCACATCTACTTTTTCTATTTGTCAAGATATCCCTAACAACACCCCCAGAGTGGGATAAAACCTAGTTTTTTTTAAATTTCCTTTTCCTTTTTCATTTTTGATAAGTATTTATTATTTTCTTTTTCATTTTTGCAAAATAATTTATTTTGAGAATATTCCTGATATCTGAAAGGTGACATCGGGTGCATGGTGCCTTCCATGGAGGAAAAAAAAAGCCTTTTTAAAGCATTTGAATTCCCCCCCAAAAAATATACTTTTTTGCTGCATTTTTTGGCTGTATAAATTATGTTCATGAGAAATTCGGAGGAATTTCTTGGGAATTTTTTGGTAGGATAGTGGTATTTACAGGGTTTGTGTCACTTGTAGCTACATTTCTTGTAGTAACTTTGGTGGTAACTGTTAGAATATTTTGGGTCATTATGTAATTACATATAGTTGGTAGGGTCATTGTGTAATTAGCTGAGTCTTGTATCTTTATATAAGTAGCCACCATGATTCTCTCTCTCTCTCTCTCTCATCAGTTTGAACAGTAACAAAAGTCGTCATTTGAAATTTCGCGACTTTTTTTTTCGTGTTCTGCTTTGTGCTCTATTTTTCAATTAGGTGCTGATTGTCAATTAATGTTGAGGTTAGTGTTGGATTTCATTAAATAGGTGGGTTGTGGTGGCAGTAAGCTATTGATCTATAAATGTAGAAGTATATAGATATGATTGGTTTATACAAGTACCAGCAAGTAGAGCTGATTTAAGAATTCACAGTAGATGTTGTATCTTTAGTTCTATTACTGCTTATCTGTGATGTATACCCGATTACCCGCTTATCAGATGGTTTGCATAGTGGGATTAGGATAGGGCCATTAGTTGTATAATGGTATGGTACATTTTGGTAACTCAAACATATGTTTTGCATCTACATAATATCTCCAGATCTCAATTAGAGTTACATAATCTGAACTTTGGGTTTTGATTTATAAGCATAATTATTAGGTGGTCGTTTTTCTTTCCAATCCTATAGCCTCTAGTGGCCGTAGGTAATTTTATGTACTTATTTTATTTTTCTTCTTTATCTTGCATAGACAAACTTTTGGTAAAAAAAAGGAGGACAAGCTGACAAATCAGGGCACACGAATTCGATCTTAGAGCAGCCATTTTGTGCATTAAGTGCAAAAGTTAAGGTCTTTCTCAAATCTTCCCCTCCCAGCACCGGCTTAGACAGGAGATACACTGGGAAATGCGCTTTTATAATTAAACTTTTAGTTGCTGAACTATGTAAACCTTGCAGTGCAACTTCTTGCTTTATTCTCTTTCCTGCTTTTGTGGAAGGCTCCTGTTTGATTCACAATGAGAGTGATTTTTTGTTATAGCTTGGAAATTGAATTTCTCTACATAGATTTCTGCTGCATACTTGTTCAACTAGATTTTTTCCTAGAGGTATATTTTAATTTTTCATTCCTTTAAAATAATCCATTTTCTGTACATTATGAAATAAAACTCATTTTGGAGTTAACATGGTTGATTTACATTTTTAAACTGCATTGATTTTACATATCTCCAATATGATGATACTCATTCTAATTTACACTTGCAATTGAAATTACTACACATCTACTCTATATATATGTGTATTACACCTTGAACTTGTTCCCCTTGTCGTTAGATTTTAGTATTTTTCTCTAAGTTCTTGTTCCTTGGTCCAAGGATGCCATTTCTCCTTCCTTATGTATCTAGTGTGTTTAATCAGGTCTGTGATTTTGGTCTTTCCCGTTTAAAAGCAAACACATTTCTTTCATCAAAGTCAGCAGCAGGAACTGTAAGTTTTAGTAAATTTAATCATTCATAATACCATGTATTTATCTATAAATGGTGCAGGACACTTTCTGGAATAAAATATAATTAACTTATTTCATTCCTTTTTACAGCCCGAGTGGATGGCTCCGGAGGTTCTTCGTGATGAACCATCAGATGAAAAGTCGGACGTGTACAGCTTTGGCGTGATTTTGTGGGAACTTGCAACATTGCAGCCTCCCTGGATTAATTTAAATGCATCACAGGTTTGTATGTTGTAGTTATATTTCATTGGTGAAATGCTGGAAACAAGAGCTAATGGTATTTGGTGTGGTGGTTAGTGAATCTAGTTCTGTGTACTTGGTAATGGACATGGAGGGGCTTTATAGCGCTGGTGACCATGAACTTAAATTAACAACTTGTAGAAACTAAAATAAATTTCTTAGCAGAATTAACAGTTACAAGTTTGAGCTGGATATGCTTGCTCTAAATTGCTTGCTATTTTACCATTTTAGAGATAAAATCAAGTGAAATGTTAAATTAGAGGCTGAAACCCCTTATTTTAGTTGAACTTGAATTAATAATGTGAAACTTGTGTGATTCTGCAAATGTTGATTACTTTGGTTTCTATCAAAGCAAACACGGTTGCTCCCTTAAAAGGCAAATTATTATTTCTGCAGATGTGGGTCCTTGGTCTGACTTTAAGTATCCATTTGGATTGAAGGATTTAAAATGAATGGATGTTGATTCAATTAGTTAAGAAGTACAGTTTAGAATTAGATTTAATAGTTAGATACACTGCCAATGAACAGATTGATTTGAGAGTGTTATATATATATATATATATATATATATATATATATATATATATATATATAAAAATTTAAAATAACACATTTCACACCTATATTTTAACGTCTTCTTTGACCTCCCAATCTAACTCCAGTAGCCGATCTATTATTCAAGGCTTAACTTCCTTCATAATTTCATTGATTAATAAAAAATGTACTGTAAGTGTTGGTTATCATTAGTTGCGGCTTTATTGGTTTTCATTACCTTCATTCTTTTTTTGTTATGAATACATGTTTTTTTCGATAAATATGTTCTAAATACTTGTTCAATAAATATAATTTGAACCTTTTTTTTTTTTTGGTGGGGTGGAATTATAGTTGGTTGTCTATTTTTGCTGAAGAACTTTTCATAAGATCTTAACGCGATCTCTCTTGCTAAACATCGCAACACTGAAAATGATTGAGCAATAATTAATATTTTTTTATTCCATTTTTTTTAAAATAGTGGTGAGCTAATTAAATGTATCTCAATTTGTACCGTCTTGAAGGTTGTAGCAGCTGTTGGTTTTTGGGGAAAAAGGCTTGAGATTCCAAATGGATTAAATCCTCAAGTAGCCACCATTATCGAGGCTTGCTGGGACAAGTGCGTAGAAATTCTCCTTTCAGTTATTGATGTTTGAGTTCTACCCTATTTCCTTTAAACTTATTCTTCTGTTACTAATGAAACTCTGATTGTGCTTCAGCGAGCCCCGGAGACGTCCTTCTTTTTCCAGTATCATGGAATCCTTAAAGCCATTAATTAAACCTTCCACCGCTCAACCTGTTCGTTCAGACATGCAATTACTCACATGAAGGTGAGAAACACCTGGGAAATTCTAGTTGTGCACATGTATGGCATGCTTTTGATGATCTGATTTCAGGTGGAGCACCCTGCTGTGATAAGTCAGATGTGTCTATCTGGAAATCTGCAGCTTTTGACTCTAATTTTTTTTAACTAATTCTTGGTAAACCTCTATTCCGTAGGTGATATTTTGCTGTGAAAGAGTAGAAAAACTTGGAATCTAGGAAAAGCTTCCTCCAAATTCCAATTTTTATTTATTTAATTTTATCCATACTACTGCTAAAGTTTGACAATCAAGTGAAGTGGATTTGTATCCTTACTAAGAACTGCCTGAGACGGATTGGAAGTGGACTAAGTTTGATTCAATCTGATCCAACTAAGAATACATAAATATTGAAAGAAGGATGGGTAATTACATAAAGATGGAAAAAAGGTTGAAAAGAGAGAACAAGTATTACGTGGTCACATCTCTGCTCAGTCAAATTTCCATGACTTGGTGATATTTTTTTCCTTTTATTGTGCCCTTATATAATTTAAAACTTTTCTTACATGACATTATTTCCATTCTTATGTAATTATCCATATTTTGCCACTAAACAGTCGTTTTTCCATTATATAGTATAAATAACTATGTATGATTTCTATCATTGGATCTTTTGCAATTTAATGGCATGTAATTTACATATAGAAGCAAAAGGTAGGGTATAACGTGCATAAATGATGCAATTTTCCTTCAGTTTTGCCTCTTCCTCTCTTTCCCCTCTTGAACGATTTATGAGCCAGGCTGCTAGTGTTCTTACCGACGAATGATTGATGCTTTAAGCTGTACCCTTGTGTGTGTGTGTGCACGCACACAAAATGCACGGACATGTGTTTTGTCTGTATGTACACAAACAAGTCATTGCTTGGTGCAATGGTAGTAGTTCGGGCTGATAGGTGTACATACACTTTTGGGTATGAGAGAAACACTTTGCATAAAATAATTCCAAAGTTTCTTCACTTCCCATTCCAATACTGTGTCTAGGCAATACATACATTGGGTAGTGCCATTCAACTTTATTTTGAAATGATTTGTAGATATATAGATTGAATTTGTTTCTGTAGATCAATTTCTTTTTTGTCAAGTTTGATCTTCATTCCGAAAATTATTTTGTCTTTATTTCTAACTTTTAAAGGATCATCAGTTGGTCATAAAAGTGTACGTACACTTTTGGGTATGAGAGAAACACTTTGCATAAAATAATAATACCAAAGTTTCTTCACTTCCCATACCAATGCTGTGTCTAGGCAGGACATACATTGGGTAGTGCCATTCATCTTTATTTTGAAATGATTTGTAGATATATTGATTGAATTTGTTTCTGTAGATCAATTTCTTTTTTGCCAAGTTTGATCTTCATTCTGAAGATTATTTGATCTTTATTTGTAAATTTTAAAGGATCATCGGTTGGTCATAAAACTAGTTTCTTCCATGATTTAAAGTAGAAATTTGTTGAAGCTTTTATATTGATTTGGAGTTTTAAAAAACATTTCTACTTTTCCCTTTTGGCATAAATTGTTTGGGGATGATAATTTGAGATTAACAATCTGGGACTTTGAATTTTGAAAGTCATCATCAGTGTGCTACATATTTTGGATTGAATCAGGTATTAGGATTGGAGTGCACACACGCATGGGTTGGGAATTTAACCTAATAGTTGGCAAACTTTTGAATTTAGGAGTTCTAAAATTTTTGCGCCCTTTTGAACTCATGCAGATGTTCGCCGTCTTCTGTTTTTTCTTTGTCTGTCTGTTTTCTTGGTTTCAAAATCCTGATTTCTGTGTTCCTGTGATTTTCTGCAGGATTATATTGGCTATTGAGAACTTCTGCGACCCAACAAGCTAACACTGCTCTTATTGGAGATCAATTACGCATTTCCATCTGCATTTTCCCGTGAAATATATGCACCAGGTAACTTTATCAAGTACTAGGATGGAGAATTTGAGCGATCTGCTCATAATTTTGTATATGCATTGTTGTAATTGAAGCCAGCTTTACACGAATCAACCTTGTCATGCCATTTGAGTGTGTGTCCCCCGTTGTTGCATTGTATCACTCATATGAAAAATGTAGTTGGTACACAGGTCACAAAATCTCTCACAGAAATGGAAATGTGTTTAGCATTTGCATTAAGATGTAAGAATAATTTTGTATTCCTAGTGTTCATGTCTGTTTATCTATTTATTATTATTATTATTATTTTTTTTTTTTTTTTCCATTCGAAAACTTACACACCCATGAGCCCCTATGAAGACGGCTATTACTTTTTAGTTATCAATGTTACGATGACTGTGAAGCTTATTGCTGATAGCTATTGCTTCCAAGAGCAAGTTCCCTGAAAAATGGAGAAATGGTGCAAATCTGATTGATATTATTTTAGAAAGATAAAAGTAAATATGTTGATGAAATTTTCTTTGGCTGTAGCTGTACACAAGATACTAGTGGCGTTAAGTGCTAATATGCACTTTCAATTCCGATACCAGCCAAACCCTAAGAGCAAGTCCAATGGTCCAAAATCCAGCTATTTTGGGGCAAATTCTGCAATTGGACTTCACCAATGAACTCGCCAGAAATTGGGCGCCACCCATTGGGTCGGGGAAAGGATCGCTAAAATAATTGAATCGAAGAGCCGTTAAGGCACTGTTTGGCTGACCCAAGCAGTGCCTTAAAGGCTTTTTTGTGCAAGAAAAGTTAATAAAAAGTAGGGAACAACGTTTTTTTATTTTTTTTTATTTTTTTTATTTTACTTTTTAAAATATTCCTACTGACATGTAGCCGTTTTAGGCACTGTTTGGCTGACCCAGACAGTACCTTAAAGGCTATATTGGCACAAAAGTTTATTTTTTGAAATTTATTTTTTAAAATAATTATATTTTAAATTTTAAATTTTAAAAATATTAAAATATTAATATTTTTGGGGAGCGAAAATGCATCATTGGAGCACATATGATAGTTAAAATTTGGAAACTCTAAAATTCTAAAATGCTGACGTGGCTATGGAAAATGCTGGTATGACAAATTCATAGAGTCTAATTTTAGAGAGTCTACTGGAGATGCTCTAAGTAGTAGTATATTTGATACAGTTCCAAATGAAACTTCATGCCATTGTAGGTTAAAGAACTTCTGGATGACTTGCAAGCAGAATACCCTTTTTCGTTCTAATATTCACTCTATGTAACCATACTAGTGCTTTCTTCACAGCTTTTTCCTTTCTTTAAATTAATTATAAAAAGAAGAAGTGATTCTACGTTTTTTACAACCAATTCACGGATGTGTTTGCATTCACGCGGTCATTGTGCAAACTCCATGTGTATACACTTCGAAATTATGTTCTTTTTTCACCGTGGTAGAAAAGTAATAATTTTGGAATATACAAATTTATGCCAGAAAAATGATTTGCATCACTCCCATTGGGTGGGGGTAACAAAATTCAGCAGAAAATTGAAGTATTCATACAAAAGAAAGACTCAAGCACAAGAATAAAGAAAACAGTCAAATCTGGAAGCTACAAACAATGATATTGTTCCTCAATCCAGGCTTCATATACACAACTCTTTCACTCTCCAGACGTTTGATTCCAAGATTCTGAATGAAGAACTCACCATAAATCTTCATGAAGTGAAGACAGCAGAGAGATAATACGCACAAGCTACCATTGGCACTCTTCTACTTAATGAGATGTGAATTTCAGGTAGGAAGAATTGAGGCTGAAATGTGCACCATTGACCAAGCTACTCAAAGCCATTCATCTGTAAAACCTATCAGACAAGCTTGTTTAAAAAATACAGAGTAATCTTAAACTTACCATTTGAAAGAGCAGCTATAGTTCTACTGCTAATTCCCACACATGCAGCAACCTTAACAGGGACCATAAACAGATTTGACCTGCAAGAACCTGTACTCTTCGCTGCGTCATAGAATCAATTGAACATAGCAAAAATTACCATTATTTTACTATCATCAGTTCATCACCATTATTAATTTGTTTTCAGGGAGATGGATCTTAAGATTGCATGTTGCATCATAAAAAGCAATAAACGGAGGACGAGCTCAATGAGTACAGAATCACCATGATAATAGGAAAAACCAAACACCAGATTAATAGCAAAAATATAAGATCCCATTAAATCAGTTAATCAAGATACAATCTACTTATCATAGTTGTTCTCTGTGACTGCTTCTCTACATCTTCCGTAGCTACAGTAGAAATCGACATTTGTGTTTACCCCCATTAAAACTGAATCAAGAGATAAAAACTGCCATAATAATAACTTTAAGGGAAAATAGAAAAAATTTGAATGCAGCATTGCAGCCAAAAGTAAATGATTTTCTCCATAAAAAATCTTACCAGTGAATGCCAGAGAGAACAATGCGAAATCTGCACCCATAGCTCAATGGGAGCACGCTGCTAGATCTCAAGCACGACAAATCTGCAGTGCAGAGTTCACAACTTAAACAAGTATTTATTAGACATAAGATTGTACAATGCTTGCGAAGTTCATAAATTTACACAATGCAGCAATTCAAAGTAAAAATATCCACAATTAACAGATAAATGTAATTACTCAAATTCACAATGGAAATTTGGAAAAAATAATAATAATAATAATAATAAAGAAGAAGTATGGAAAGGAATAAAGAGGGTAATCAACTGACTATATTAATAATAAATTGTTCAATTTAGAAAAAAAAACCCATCAACTGGAATAATAACTAGAAATCTGCAAGGGCAGCAAGTGCCTATGCAGATCAGTTCCTATGGGTCCGTTGTCTTAGCACTATCATCTTTTGGCTGGCCAGCCTGACCCTGAGGCCCATCAAATGGGGATTCATCACCCGGCCACTTCCCGATTCCCGAGCCTCCTGCTGCCTGCAAGGACCCTAAATCCCAAATATCTGAAAACCCACCTGTGGCTCCCAAGTCTGGCATATCATAGTTGAGATTATCCCATAAATCATTGGTAGAACAAGACATACCAGCACTGACTTCAAAACCCATGTTCCATGCATCCTCTTGTTTAACGACACAGTCCTCTGGAGACGAGAATTCTGGAAAATTCTTCTCCCTTGACAAGTCCTCTGGGAAAGACACAAAATACTCAGGAGTAAACTCTTGTTGGGGGTTCACTACATTCTTTCCTTTATAAAGAGGATCTCTATTTCCAAGGCTTGAAACTCCCACTCCAACTTGCTCGGGGGCTTGGAGTTGTTCATGTGCTGCTACTAATTCATCTGATTTAATATTCTCAACTTGAAACAACACGTTTTCCGCACCTAAACCCAGATTTCCGACCACATCTTGTGAGAGATAATCAGGAATTTGTTCAACTGCATCCTGATTTAAGTCGGGGGTTACTGAAGAGGTACATAGGTTCCCCAAATTGGCTCTGTAATCTACAATCTGCCCTTCCATGGACGATGCTGATTTACCCTGTTCATGCTGCTGATGTTTCACAAACTTCTTCATTGTTTTTGGAGAAGCAATACTCCTCTTTTCCTTCTTTTGCTGAAGACGGGCTAAGAAGTCTGGGTTTTGAAACAACTTTGCCAAGAATGAGACCATCTGCTTCTGTCTCTGCTCCGCTGCTTGGAGCCTCTCATTCACTACGTCCATGTGCTGAACTGTCCCACGTTGCTGCTGCTGCAATTCTATCATCTCCTGCATCATCGAACTTTTCTCTCTCCTTAATCTTACTATCTCACCTTCCAATCCAGTTTTGCCTGTTTCAGTTGAAGACCCAGCATATCTCTCAATCTGCTGCGTCTGAGGTGACTTGCGCCTGTGGATGTTCTTCAAAAGATGTCTCCTTCCTTGCAAGAAACCTTCATTGGCAAACTCCCACTTATCACTATCAATCTTGCGGAATCCCTGAATACAATCAATCCAAATTGATTCAAAAATGAATGCTGCAGGAAACAAAAACGAAAGGATAATCCATTTGCATGATTAATGAATTTGTTACACAATACAAATCAAAGCCATCAAATCTCATACATAGAAAGAGCAGCATTTCACCACACAAACATCTGTATAATGCTAAGTCAGTACTAGTAAGGCAAATAATTAAGCGAGATTGAACAAAAAATACACGATGGTGAATGTAACACCAGAACCCGAAATTCTACCTGCTACAAGATGGACCTTCCAACTCCAATACATGCTAAAGGAGAAAGATTTGACTAACAAAAATGTAGCCTCTCAGCCCTAGCTGAATTGATGAACGAAGAATCTTTATCATATTCTCAACCATATTTTAAGCTTCACACTAAGAAAAGACGTACATAAGAATACCATAAATCCACAGAAAGGAGCAACAGAACAACCTCAATAACGATACACAAGAGAGAACTTCCATTTTAAAGGAGCAAACAAAAACTACATACAGAAACATTATGTTAACAAGCTCATTTCCACCTGCTTTTCCACACATTTCAAAGAGAGGAAGGCAAAACCAAGCACTTTACGTTAAGAAATGGATTAAATATGTACGTGCAAGCTCAATAGTACAAAATCCAGTACAACAAAGTGCAAATCCCTCTTAATTTTGGGAAAGTTCATATACAATTACATTACAATAACTATAAAAATTGGCCGCAGCAGCAACATCTACAGGGACTGATCACAGTAAAATCCAATTACAAAAATGAACAAGAAAATACAAGGAAATAAGCAAAATGGAATTACAAGAAAATACATAGGAAACAAATTTACCCGGGAAAAAAAACTACATAGGAGAAATAAAAAAATAAAAAAACATAGAAGTATACATACAGAGCACAGCAGCCGTTGCTGGCTGTGTTCATACAATACCCACATATGTATTTAGTTGCCGAACAAAACTTGAGAAATTGTTGTGCTTGAAATTCTGAGGAAGGATTCGCCTCGCGAACTCCATGGGGTCCCAAACCACAAAGCTCTGCCCAGTAGAGCTCCAAGATATGATTGGGTCCAATGTTGGATCATCCACAAGATCAAAAGTTTTAGACAGAAATGGAGGGATTGGATTTCCCTGTAGACAATCAAGCGGCTGAGGAACACCCAAATTCTCTGCCTCACTATCCTCTCCTGTCCCAAATGGTAGAGATGGAAGATTCTCTACCATTGAAAGCCCATTTATTATAGGGTCAAGCGAATACGATGATGGTCTTATGTTAGGAAATTCATCGAACAGAGAGGCGTCAGACGAAGATTTCCCAGCAAAGCCCATTGATATTGGGAATGGTTGAGAGGGCATTGTTGACAACAAAGACGAATCGGGTTGAGTCGTCAAAAACCCAGATTGGAATTGAGCAAAAGAAGATGTAGGTAAAGTAATTGGAGCTGAGATTTTGGTGTCAAAGTCGGACCCAGGTGGAGAAGGCGATTTTGAAGAAGAAAACAACGATTCGTCCTTCGGTTTCATAGTTTCAGGACAATAAAATTACAGAGTTTTCTTGAGAGAGAAAGAAAGAAAGTCGAAGTTGAGGAGAGAAAAATGTCCGATGGTGTTTGTGTTTGGGATAGAGAGAGAAATAGTCCGTGAGAGAGTTGGGGGTTTAGGTTTATATGGTGGGGTTTTATAGGTATCGCCGACATTGTGTGTAAAAAAAATCTTTGTCCGTCTGTGTTGGTTAGTCGGCGCCATGGACTGTTCACGGACGCGGAAGTTGCCGCACACATATATATATATATATATTTAGAGAGAGAGAGAGCTACTCCTATTACTACCGTTTGAGAGAGAGAGAGTGGAGGGGTTACCGACCTTTGGTTTGGGACGCTGCTTCGCTTCAGCTAGATATTTTTTCGGGCTCTGTTGACTGATATATAATATATATATTTGGACCCTTTTTACTGTTAAGAGTTTGAAGATGACATCAATGTGGCCAATGAGATTATGAGCAAGTTGGGGGAATTAGGATCTGGGGGAGTTGGTATCTGGTATGGGGCCCACAAAACTTGCACACTAAGAAGCCTTGTGATTGGTCAATTAAACGTCAAATGTTCCCTTAATTTTAATTTTTGTTTTACAAAGTATGAATTAGTAGGAAGTCTCTAAATCCAAAATTTATTAAAAATATTAATTTATTAGTCTATCGAGGTATTTACAAGTGTTGCCTTAATCCATCCAATGAATTAGTATTCTCCAAAAGCGTTTGAGAATGTAACCACCATCAATTATTTTTCATAAATTGCAATTCTTAAACATTTAACTCGTAAACATAATTTTATAAAAAAAAAAAAATTTAATTTTTTTTTTTAAATTTGTCATTGTCACTATATATTTTATCTTTATTTAATATAAACGAGATTGTCATATGAATTCTTAATTTTTTTTTTCTTCTTCTTTTTTTAGTTGTTATTCATATACACATATTTTCATTAAAACTTGCAACCAAAATCTCTCTTTAAAAAATAAAAATGTAATACCGCTAGACACCCTTGATTTTCTAATGTCTTTTAACCATTTTTCAAATTACATTTAGTTCAGGTGAAATTTCTTTTGCGCAAATGATATTGAAGGTTAAAGTTTCCTTTAAAAGCTTGTTTGTGTTGAGTTTTGTAGATGGAAAATATTATAATACGTAGTAATAAAAATAAAAAAGAAAAAAACAGACAAACAAGCGGACACTACTAGGCTTGTGCATGCACCTTTCAATTGGAGTAGGAGTATCTGATTTTGCCTTCTCTCAAGGGAACCAAATGCCTTCTTTGTTATGCCACGCGGCTGTACTTTAATAAATTTGCTTTGGAAAAAGAAAGACTCTGTCGTGTTCTTGTGTGTAGTGGGCAACTCTAAAATCTCCAACAATTTCAAATTATATTTTTTAAAAATTATGTCAATATTTTTAAAAGTTACCTGAGTGTCTTTAAATTAAATTTTAGCTATTACATATATTTTCTGTTGTGCATTTTTTCTCTTCAAAAATTTTAATTTTTAGTATTTTTAAAAATTTTAATAATTTTTTAAAAAACTTTTTACAATCGCTATATTTCTAATCACTATATTTAAAAATACTATATTATAAAGAGAAATTAAACAATATAATATCCATTATTTAAAAGGAAAGACAAAAAATAATAGTAATTTTTTTGGGGCCAATATAGTCATTAAGATTAAGATAATGTTTCTGTCAGTGCCTTAATGGTCATAAGAGCAGCACTTGTGCAGAAAAAGTAAGTGTGTGTGTGTGTGTGTGTGTGTAGTGCCTTAAGCCTCTTTACTTTAGTTTTGCTGGAAAAAAAAAAAATGATTTTGAAATATTTTTTAGCCCCTTAAGCAGGTCCAATGGGGGTAGATTCCCGCGATTTGGGGCCAAATTTGAAGAGTGGGTTGTTTCAATGGACTCTTTAAAAAGTGGATCCCATTTTGAGGCTCTTGATCCAGGTTGCCAAATACCAAAATTGGGTTGGCGATTTGCGGGCCTGACATTAGGGCCCGCATCAGTTTTTTTTTTCTTTTTTAATTTTGGCCCAAATAGTGTTTTAGAACACTGTTTGGTAAGGCATGTTTGGCTGAAAAAAAAAAAAAAAAAAAAATTAGTTTTTTTGCTGATTTTGGTCTCTTTTTTTCTTTTTTTCTTTTTTTCCCTCAAAATAATTGAACCAAAGATCTGTTAAGGCACTGTTTGGCTGACACAAATAGTGCCTTAAAGGCTTTTTTGGGTAAAATTTTTTAAAAAAAAATAGATAAAAGTGTTTTTTTAAAAAAAAATTTACTTTTCAAAATATTCCAGCTAACTTCCTTCGGACTAAAACCCGCTATCAATTATCTAGTTTATAGATAGGGGGCACCCAAGCAAGAAAAAGCCAATTTTGAACCGGGGAAGAGGTCGAGTTCTCTCTTATCTTATATACATAGTCACAACATTCACTAAAGATGTTACTTTCAAGGTCGAGGACAGAACGCCGGAAAGGGAGCAGTTCCACACGTTCCACTATTTGCTGCGGCACACATGGACTCTCTGCAACCAATCAATATCCGAGTTAGGCCGAGGTGGGAAGGATAGTTTCATTTGTACATAGTGAGTCTCACGCACATATAGTTTCATTTTCAAAACCTATTTTTTTTATAAAAAAAAATAATTATATACATTTTTATTATTATTATTTTTATTTTTTTTAAAAAAAACCTTTCATTGTTTATTTCAAATGATATTAGAAATCTTTCATTGTTTAGTTCAAATATAGCCGCTAGGAAAAAGTTAAAAAATAAATTTTATTTTAAATTTTAAAAATATTAAAATATTAATATTTTTGGAAAGCGAAAATGTACCATTGGAGTACATCTGATAGCTAAAATTTGGAGATTCTAAAACGCTAACGTGACTATGAGAAATGCTGACATGGCTATGAAAAAATGCTGATGTGGCAAATTCGGAGAGCCTAAATTCGGAGAGTTCATTGGAGATGCCCTTAGGCCATCTGCACAAGCCTCTCCGAATTTTGGCTCTCTAAAAACGCCACATCAACTTTTTCAAGAGTTATATCAGCAATTTCAAAAGCCACGTCAGCAGTTTTCGCTCTCAAAAAACATACACTCTATCAGGCTCTCCGAATTTTCGCTCTCTAAAAAATAATAATAATAATAAATTAAAATTAATTTTTTTTTTTTTTAACTTTTCCTAAACGGCTATATTCGTAATGGGTATATTTTTAATGACTATATTTGCAACGGCTATATTTTCTCAACGGTAATATTTTTCAATCAAACAATATTTTTGCAAATTATTAAAAAAACTACGATTAATATTAGAACTTGAAATAATACATTATCCATTATGGATTAAAAAAAACAAATTAAACAAAACAATTAAAAATAACTTAAATAATACAATATCTTAAATTGAAATAAGAAAATAAATAGACCAAGGATTACAAAATTCTATGGAAACTTTGAGGAGGACCGTGAGTTCAAAGATGCCAATATCTCATTTTGTCGTACAATAATCCAAGCTTTCCTCGCTTCTGTTGGTGTCGAATTTGGATCTGTTAACATGAGCTCCTTCTCTTCACGTCTCTATTCTCTAGAATCTCTAACTGCCTTGTCTTCTCTTTCTCCATTTTTCTTACCTCTCGTGCCACTTGGGCATCCTGTATTTTCTCCTGACGACTCTCAAAACGGGTGGTGATATTATTAAATTTCGAAACGAATGAAGTTTACAATTCATTCACTGAATTAATTTTTGTTCGACGCTACTTCGCTGCTTTTCTTCCTGCTGGTCTTTGTAGTTGATATACTTCTACACCAGGTGAATCATTTTCCCCTTTGTGTGGTGATTCTTTAGTTAAAACTCCATCTGTTGTGCCTGCATGACTTGGCAAAGTAAATGGTAATAAGTGCCCAACAGACTCATTAATGTCAAAGTCAAATACACTCCTCTTCTTTAGCTCTTTTTTCTTTTTTCCTTTTCCTACTTGTTCGGCACAATGTGAATTCCATTTATTGTTATGCTTTAAGATCTCTCGGCAACTTTCTAATTTAAATTCACCACCTATTTGACTACGAAACAGGTCTTTAGCTGGTATCATCTACACGAAAAAATTAACAAAAAAAATAAATGCCATCTATTTAAAATATTTTCGAGTTATATTTAAATAATAAATAACTCACCATATCATCACTGCTGAAGTCACTGGGACAATTCATTTCTATGGTAGTCATGTAGTCGAAAAATTCGAAAAATTTACTGATTTTTCGTTGGATCACCGACCAACGATTCATCAAACCTCTATCATTTCACTCAGTTGGAACACCAATATGTTGTTTATATTATTCCAGAATTCGCTCCCATAACTTCTTCTTACTTTGGTCTGCCCCTGTAATCGCATCAGAGGTAATCAACATCCACGCTCAACATAAAGCCTCATCTTCAGCCTTGGTCCAATTAGTAGGTCGGATAACCGATTGTTTTGGCGAAGCTTTTGAGTTACTTGATTGTGGAACACTAGTACCACAATCATTATGAGAAGTTTGGGATGATTGATAAGAAGGTTGGGATGGTTGATGAGAAGAAAATTGAGAATTTCCTCCATAAAAATTGATATTGTCTTCGGGAAATGGCAAAAACTCATCGTTTGATGGGTTGAATTGGGTGTTATAATAAAATAGATGACGAGGATCCATGGAATCGAAATGACTTTGAAAATAATAGCTAAGATTGAGAAAATAGAAGAAGAAATAAGTTGAATGGTAGATAATAGAAATGTGTTAGATGTGATGAGCGATGGTAGGAGTTGGGGTATTTATAGAGAGTTTAAAATTTTTATTTTTAATTTTTTTTTTTTTTTGAATAAAGTTAAAAATTTTGATTTTTTGAACTTTTTTTTTAAATTATAGCCATTAAGGCACTGTTTGGCCAAACAGTGCCTTAACGGCCAAATACACTATTTAGTCTACACATTTAAAAAGAGCTCTAAATAACCTATTTTTAGGTTTTTTCGAAAAAAAAAATTCTACCAAACAGTGCCTTAAGACACTGTTTGGTACTATACAGAGCCGTTGCAGAACAAAACAAAAACTGCCTAATGCAAAACGATGGTAATGTACGGAGCTGTTGCAGAATAAAACAAAAACTGCCTAATGCAAAACGGCGCCGTTTTGCATTAGGAATAAACAAAAAAAAAAATTCCAACGATCACGGGTTGGCTCACTGAATACCGCGAGCAAATTTGGGCCCTACAATTTTGGCTAGTTCACTGCACGCCCCAACAGTCCATTGGCTCACTGAAAATGGGCTTTGAAGAGCCCGGTGCAGGTGCTCTTGGAAGCACTGCTACAGTACTTCTGAGAATATTTAAAAAGCACAATTTTATGCATGCGGGCCCGTGGATTGCCATATGGACCAGAATTTGGATTGTTATTTTTCTGGGCTAGATTTTGGAGAGCCCAGTGGAGCAGACTGGGTCGCCAAAATCTGGCCCCTCTAATAGGTAAGTTACATTAATAGGATGTATCAATTTTTCCTATGGCATTTTTTTTCAAAAATTTAAACTAACCGCATAATAAAAGTTAAAAGACTATTCTCAAGAAAGACTTTTTCTACTTTAATAGTTTAGAAAATTACAAGACCAAAATCTACTTGATTCAGCAAAATCAAAGTTCATTATTGGCTTTAGTTAAGTGATATTTCCTTTTAACCTGCATTTAGTTAAGTGATATCTCCTTTTAGCCTTTTATTTATCATAATTGGTGTTTAGCTCCACTTTCCACTAAAATAATACGATTACATTTAACCTTAAGAAAACAAATTTACACTAACACCACGAACAAGCCCACCCATTTAATCATGCTATGTTTGAGGAGAGGTGAATATAATTTACCTTTCTACAATTGTATTTTACAGGAATTTAAATTCTTAACATATCCCTTGAAAAACAGAATTAATTCTTTTATTTTATTTTGTATACAAAAAAAAATGTTTGCCTAGTTATCTATTGAAAAAAACACCAATTTGTAATGAATTTAGACGCCCCGAATTGGCGTGCCACATGTGATCATGAACACATTAACCAGTTGGTAGTGATAAAATAGGTATGGTCTGCATAAACAAAGCATGTGCATGTGCATAATTAAGTACACATTGTTTTTGTTCAGCTGTGACATAACAAATTATCAGTATCAAAACTCTGATTAAATTGAATGCAGTGATATGCTAATTCGATACATACCCACTCACAATTGATTGCAAAAGGAAGTGAAACATATAAATAGAAAGTAAAGAAACCTATCTGGATATCTGTTAAAACCCTTCAGTTCTGAACAAAATTGCATTGCCTCAACAACAGCATCTACAGCCGATCAAGGGTCAAATAGGATTGTTAAGAATCTTGCTTCTGCTTCTTCACAACATGCTTGTTTGGGTCACCTTTCATCTTAGCTTCCCGACGCTCCCTCTTTAGCCCCTTCGATTTGTTAGGTAGTGCCGTCTCACCAACCTGGACACAAGGAAAATCATTAAAAGTTGTGGAAAAGACACGACTGCTGGTAAGATACAGTCAGCAGAATGACAGATCGGACTTTTAGGGGAAGCATTACTACACATGCAGTGTTTCGTCTACGTTTGGTAACCAATCATATTCCGCAACTAAAGTACTTGGGTATTTCCGGTCGATGCAACCACCGCTAAATATAACTGTTATCATTCTTACCTGTTGGTCTGGAATATATATCTTCCCAATTTTCCCCTGTATTGCATCTCGGCTAACATTTTTCTCCTGGAAATGAAAACAGGACTGTCATTTAGAACACTTTAAGAGAGAAAGAAAAAGAGGGGGAGAGAGAGATTTAATTAGTCAAACCTTCTTAGCCAGTATAGGAGCTGCCTTCATAGCCTCTTTCTTCAAATTGTCATCAGGAAGACGATGCCGCCGAACTACCAAATCCATGGACGGGCCAACTTCAACAAGCTCCATCCTTGGGACTATGGTACCAGATTTTTTAAGGCGCAGACCACAATGAGTAAAGAACACCTTATTTGAAGAGACAGCAGTGCACACATAAACACGGTCCAACCCAGAAAGGTTTAAATTTGAAACAACCTGCACATCAATCAAATCCATGCTTCTTATAATAATCTCCAAATTCAAAGAAGAAAAAAGAAAACAAAAAAATAAATAAAGACAATGGAAAAGGAGGGGAAAAACAGCAGAGATATACCACTCCTCGGAACAAATCAAGCAACACTTCCTTCAAATGTTTCAGCTCTTCCACACTCTCAAATCCTTCACCGATAAAAGCAAAGAAAGGTTTTGAACCAATTTGGGGAGCCCATTTCTTATCATATGAGAATGACTCCATGCTTTTGAAATTTTCAATTCCAACCTCTACAAGATCATAAATATGGTGATCATAAGTTCGCCCTATAACAAGATTGTCAGGCCGCTTCTTTGAGTGAGAACCATACTGCAAATATAGCCACAGAATACATTGGGATAGATGTCACACTAACAAAATTAGCAGTAGGAAAGAAACACCCTTATAATAGCTTATTTACACACTCCCATTTATCCTGTATAGGTGTGACAGAATTCAAGGGTGAAAGATAAATGTATAATGTGCAGGAATAACGTGTGCAACCATCTCCTGATCCTATAAATAAAAGTATTAATATTGGTATTTAAGACATTCAATTCTGTTCTTCAGGTAATATAAACAGGGAATAAGGGGGAAAGGTTGTGCATACAAAACAATCATATTGGCAACAAAGATTATGCTAAAAACCAGGAAAAGGGACATTCATCATCCATAAGTAGATATGAGCAAAATGAAAATATATAACTATAATTCTTAATTGAAGGGTTGAAACAGCTTTATAATATATTACCTAAGAAACAAATAATATAAAAGAACATCCAAATTGTAAGTGTCATTAACGAGATGAAATGTAAAATTTAAGCAAATGATTTAGATCACATTTCCTTCACTAAAAGATCCGCACCAGGAAAGAGCCTACTCAAACTCCCTAACATATAAAATAGTTGTTTCTTGTAAGTGGTGATTAGTAAACAAAAAGTATTAGGGCCAAGAAGTTGATGAGGAGCTAAAAAAATTTACATGGTATAATGGTACAAGTCTCAGAATCATTAAACTACTTTGGACATCCATTTTCCTAATCATCAGTGAGTTCAATTTGTTTTAAAATGGTTTCATCATAACTATCACATTGTTGTTTACACATATTGGTACCACTTCAGACTAGCAACTCTAACTACTTCAAATGTTGTCCCATCAAGGAACTTAAGGACTAATATTATCATAAAATATAACTAAGTGACCACTTGAAGCCTATTAATATGTTGTCTCAGCACCTGAGATATAGTCTAGTCACTGTTGACCGCCAAGCAAAGGATGGCATTTGGTTGTTTGCCATGTTCAAGTGGAACTTTTATTGCAGAGTCTTAACTGGGGATAGATCACAGGTATCAACTATCAAGCTAAGGTGGATTGGATATATAGCACAATTTAACTGCAAAACAGATTTCCAAATGATCCAACTTGAACTTTAAAATGGCAATCACTAAAAAGAAAACATCAAGCAGAACATACACTGAAGAGATGAGACACAAAAAGAACAAGAGGAAGAAGAAGAACAACAATCAAATAATGTACATCAAAACATATAAATTAAGGAGATGATGTGGAGCTTCAAACATATTTAAAAAATAGTACTACACATATGGTGGAGTGGCTATGACTTGTTAGAAGACAATTACACAGTCAACCTTACCACTTCGAAAAAACTTTCACTTAGAATCTGTTCAATTAACTCAGGAAAGTAAACATTTTCTGAATATATTAAAGAAGGCTAAAAAAGAAGTAGAGAAAGTAAAATGACTAAGAAAATACTGATGCTACATAGTTTTCAGCTTACCACAAAAAGACTGCAATCAGTTTTGAGCGAGAAAAACTCTAAAGAAGTTTCACCACCACTCTCAAATGGCCTGATGTTATCATTCCTCCGAGAATACTTAACAGAATTATCCTTTTTAAGGTGATAGATTTCCGTTAATACAGCATTTACGGTATTGCTGGTTTTTGTGCCATGAAGTATTAGGGTCTTCTTCCCATTTTCAACCTGCAAAACACATTTTTATAATCAAAATACTTATTTCCTAATTTTTTTTTTTTTTAAAAAGAGAAGAATAGTTCTCAATGACTTCAAAGAAAACCATAGAAAACTCACAAGTTTAGGGGCACGTTTCTCTATCTCCCGTCTGGCTCTTCCTTGTTTGGGAGTCCTTATTTCCAACATTATTAACTGCAAGTCTGCAACCAGAAAATTGGGCAAGATACAGTAATTACAACAAAGACTTAAAATGTTAAACATTCCAATTAGGGCAGGGGCAGAGATAAGGATGGGCAAGGGGGGCCATGTCCCCCCCAAAAGATTTTTAAATTTTTATTACTACCCCTAAATAATAATTAATTTATTAAAATAATTCCTAAAATTCATTAAAAATTTCACTTGCTAAATGACAAACTCTGTAAATATTTGTACAAGTTACTAAAGTATATTTGTACAAGTTACTAAAGTAACAATCATGTTTAGTTTAAACTTCAAAGGTTTTGTTCAGTTAAAAATCATTATTTTTTTCTAATATTTCATTTAGGTAATAATGATATGTCTTTCCCGAAGTGGAATCAAAGTACGCAATTTTTTTCCGAACTGAAACAATTGATGAAGTACCTCTTTTCCTTTTAATTGTAACTAATCGTTTCTTCTTCTCTATATTTTTCTTTCTCATATCAGTTTGAAGTTGTATTTTTCTCATTTTTTATTTTTATTTTTTTATAGATATTTTCAAGGTATATATACTATGACAAACCCTTAAACAAAATTATATTACAATTGATTTATAATTTTTTTTTTTTTTTAAATTTTAGTTAAATATCTAAAAATCTGACCCCCACATTAGAATTTCTGGCTACGCCCGAGTGAAGGATGGGTAGTCTACAACTTTGTTGTCAGCAACATGACATAAAAGTGTGTTTGAATGATTAGAACACAAAAGCACTAAAACTAAAGGATGTAAAATCACACATTTCATCTAATACAGCCAATTTACATTGAAAGCATATCAGTAAAGCAACTAGTTATTCACCGTGTTTGTGTTTGTGTTTGTGTTTGTGTTTGAATTATTATTATTACTGTAATATTTTATTTTTATTTTTTCCTGAATGGGATAAAAAATTTATAAATGAAGAATAATATATTACTGTCATCTTGGATCAATGGAGAACGGTATAGGTTATACAGAGCAAAATATTAGGGTTTATTTCTAATGTTTTCAAGAGAGGAAAAGGTATTGACACGCACCCATATGCTATTCATCGTTCCCAATCACACAGACACACACATGTACACGCACACAAACATACATATGTCTATCTCAGACATCTCACACAAATTGTGTTTTTGTGTGTGAGAGAGAAAGCAGAAGCAGGGTGTAGAATCTTTACCTTCGTCTATGGGGGTGAAGGTGATCGGCGATGTCGGCGAGACCAAAGCAAGAGTCGCGGACGAGCGGCGTTCTTCCTAGTTATCGAGTGAGTAGTCCTTCTATCTATCCGATACCTTCATCCCACTTGTGACTTCTAGGTCTAGAAACAGGAACTACAGCCCAAGCCCGCCCTTAACTTGGGTTGGGCCCGACCGACTTGAAAACTTTTTCTTTCTTATACTTCGGACAACCAAACCCAATCCAGATCGACTTGGGCCGCATGAGACCCAATTATACCATATATTCTCTCCTACTCTTGTCGTCCACCACCACCTCTCACCATCTCTCTCACAATATATGTATATAATACACACACACACACACAGTTAATTGGTTATATATCAGCCGCATCATGTTTCAATTGATACCAGATGGATAAAGGGATTGACGTGAGCCGAATTGAAAACCCTATATCTCAAATCGAATAGGAGACGAGTTCGAGCTTTCAGTCAATCCTAGCTCAAATCGCAATAAATATAGTGAAAGATTCGATTTTTTTTTTTGGTATCAATACATGTACTTTGTTTCTCTGTATTTATATTGGGGTTAGGATTGGGCTTTCTGATTTGTAAGGCTTCATTTCTATGAGGTCCTTTTTGGGTTATAATAAGCTCGATACAGTTTCCATTTTTATTTTTCGAAATTTGCTTGTATTATGTAACCTAGAATGATCTAGGGTTAGGGCTAGGGCTTTGAATTGTTTAAATTTTGAATTATTATTGGTATGTATCTTTGGTGATGGAGATGGAGAGTTCACGTAGATCATTCGATAGATCTAGAGAACCGGGCCCCAAGAAACCCAGATTGGCCGAAGAGGCCGATCGCAATTTGAATGGCCGGCCTTTTGCGGCTGCTGGAACAAGTGGTTCAATGTTGTCAAAATTTCGGTCGAATGAAAGAGAGAGAGATTCAGAGAGTGGTGGTTCAGTACGTGGACCATTTCAACAGCAACAACAGCAACATCACGAGCTTGTTAGTCGGTACAAGACTGCGATTGCGGAGCTGACATTCAATTCCAAACCCATTATTACTAACTTGACAATAATTGCCGGCGAGAACTTGCATGCCGCGAAAGCGATCACCTCAACTGTCTGCACGAATATCCTTGAGGTGATTCCAGTTTACACTGTGTAGCTGTTTGTGTGTTAAATTTAGTGATAAGTTGGTTGAATTGTAAGAAAAATTGGATTTTTTTTCCTTCTTGAACTAGATTACATGTAGCTGAATTGGTGTTATGCAATCAGTGCCTTATTGTTTATGCATATAATTTAGTGAAATGGCGAGAGTTTAATTGTAAATAGATATCGGGATTAATGGATTCTTTATGGTTTCTCTAAATTACTCTGTTGTGTATTGAGCATTTTGAGATTGGGTGTGGATATGGACTTCTCCAAACAGTAAATTCTCATCTTTGTCTACAGTGTATTGTTGTGATTTTTAGGACCCAAGCATCCAGAGTTATGATGACAATGATGAGCAATAGGGAATTAATTTATAAAACTGATTTTCATTCTGATTCATTTTAAAACTGTTTCAACTTCTGGATGTTGCCTTGGTGCCATCTTTAGTCCTCTGCCCACATGCTGTGAAACTTCTGGCTACTGAGAAAAATTATACCTTTTGGATTGATAAAGTTATTTTGGGATTTTTTATTTCATATATTTTTTTTTGTTCCCTGCCGGTTCTCATGTAAGCTTCATCCCGTACATAATTGCTAGTTGTAGCTACATAGCTTCATTGTATTCATTTGCACTCATTTTTGGATATGGAAGACTTATGTATTGTATGTATTATTGTATTAAATTTAAAGTGAATATTTAACAGCATATGGAAGCATTTTTCCGTGGTTGCATATCAAGAGAGCCGCCTTCCTAGGAGGATTTGAGTTTTGTACAATATGATATTTGCAAGCTAAAAAGGATATGGACTAATTCAGATGGAATCTGTTTTATGATTTTATCATTGTGGCTTTGGTTTGGCACAGAAGCTGCATCAATTTTCACTTTTAATTTTTTTATGGGAATAGTCCTTTATTTGCTAAAGGGGTAGAACTTTTGAATTTTCGATGAGATATGCAGCAGAAACCATGGAATCTGTTTTTTTCAGAGTTTTTACTATTTCGAGCCATCAGTTCTTATATGTCTCTGGTGTTTGCTTTTTTTGTGTTTGTTTTCTTGTTTATGGGGCTTGGTGCGCAAATGGATTTGCTTTGGGCCTTTTTTGCATTATATATGTATGTACTCTGGAAAAAAAATGATCTTCTGGATTCGCTTTGTGCCTTTTTTGCACTATAAATGTATGTACTCTGGGAAAAAAAGATCATCTGGATTTGCTTTGGGCCTTTTTTGCTTTATAAATGTATGTACTCTGGAAGAAATTGGTCTTCTATTGGTATCATGGGGAGCATATGATTGCATTTGGTGTCAACTTTTCGTTTTGGTGTATATGCTCTATGATATGAACCTGCAAAGATAAATTGAGAATATTATACTCCTTTCCGAATTTTACTGGTGGCAGGTTGAAGTTCTGCATCATTGTCATCTATATCTGGAATCATGATTGAACTTTAGAATTATTAAGCTTCTTTTTAAGTCGGTCAGATGTACTAATTCTACAGCATTCTGATCAGTGCTCTTGTTTATTTCTTCTTGGAGATGTGTTAGAAGAATACTCTAGATTTCACAGCTCTGAATTTTACTTGTTTGTTTTGTTTTTATAAGTTAATTATATCATAGCGATTAAATCAATGTCCTTGTCTCTTTGAAGATGATGTGATGACTCCGTATTAAGAATAATTTTAAGGTTTGCTGGAGTGGATGACGATACCTTTTCAAAGATACATAATGCCATAGTGGCAGATGAGTTGGTGCATGGTTGATACCTGTTTAACTTTATGTGAGCTGCTGGTTGAGAGGTGGTAGTGTTTTGTATAATGGAAGATGTTGATAAAATAGCTGCTGCTTTTCAATAACAGCGTTTATGAAACATTTAAAATATATGATAGACACAGTGATATGGGATAAAGTCCTAAATTAAAAAGAAACAGAAAGGTCCCTTCTGTGAAAACAATAGAAGTAGTCTTAATGCAATATGATAAAGGAGTACAGGAAGCCTGTATTTGCAGCACTTTCCAAAAATTGAGTTACTGCAATCTTATCATAAATTATAAAAATGGGCATGTGCTAAGGGGGTGGAATGTGATATTTATTTTTAACAAGAATGAAAGCTTTTTATGTTTAGTTGCCCTTATGTTGGTGCTGTTGTTATTATTATTCTTCTCTTACTACAAATGCTTGGAATTCTGGTCAGTAAAGAATTTTTGAAAAAATGGATTATTGAATCAGATGATATTTTCTTGATTTGATTGCTATTGTATTTTCATCAAATGGTTTTTGGGAGTTGTCAGTCAATTTCTACTGAATTCTGTGCTTCTGGTTTGTAGTCCCAAAGATATATTAGTTGCTCACTATGGCATATCATCTGATCCTAAAAACTATTTGCAGGTTCCCAGTGAACAAAAACTGCCATCACTTTATCTTTTAGACAGCATTGTGAAGAATATTGGCAAGGACTACATTAAATACTTTGCTGCCAGGCTACCTGAGGTGAGAATATTATTCCATGCGGAGTTTCGCTTTATGTATTGTCCTTTCTGAAAAGTGCTACATTTTGTATATATGCTACACCCTCATTAGTGGAATACTTGAGAATGCTACACTAACAATGCTCCATTTTTTACTCCATGTAAATTTACTACTGGAAGAATAAAGATTACCATTTACCTTTATTCTTCCCATCCCATGGGGTCTGTCCACTAATGATTACTTCTCTTCTAGCTAGGGGTGCAACTTGAGCAGGTCAACCCGAACCAAACCGAATTTTTCATGGGCTTAGCTGCTTAGGCAACCATGTTAACAATTAGGATTGGGCGTTCACTGAAAAATGTCAATCCAAAATTAATTTGGGTTTGGCTTGGGTTGAGGAGTTAGACAGCCGAACACAATTCAAACCTGAATTTTGGCGTGGCTTTATATATATAACTATATTTATATATATAATTTTAAAATATTTTATATATTTATAATTGTGATTAACTTATCAAAAAAAATATATTTATAATTGTGATTAACCTTCTTTCTCAGTTTCTTTTTCTTTAAATTTTGATGTATTGTATCTTAACCCTTTGGAGTACAGTCTCTTGAGAATTTGCTTATAAATTTGTATATATTAATATTCAGTTTTGAATTTTTTTTTTTTGGTGTATGAGGAACACAACTCTAGGCTGATCCCAAATCAACCATATTTTTAGCCTTCTTACCCTAGCTCAATCCGAGTTCAAAATTTTGAACATGGGTTCTGTATGGAGATTGAGTATCAAAATCATTGGAATGCAAGCACCGTGAGAACAGATGTCATTTTGGAGTCGGAATGTCGGGACTGCAAACGATACACATCTTTACAAAAGCGCTTTCTTTTTCATTTGGGGCTCTGGTTGTTTTAAACTTTGGGTTAAGAAGGCCACCCCTCGATCTGCCCGAGTTGCACCCAGACTTCTAGCGACTACAGAATAACGTTGTGACTTTAATGCATCTTCGCCATGTTTTTCAACTTTTTTTGCTTTTAATGCTTGATGTTACATTAGTTATCACTTGTCAGTTGCCCAACATTTTGGTGCATCTTCTAGGTATTCTGCAAGGCATATAGACAAGTTGACTCTTCAATACATTCCGGTATGCGGCATCTTTTTGGAACTTGGAAAGGTGTCTTCCCTCCTCAGTCACTTCAGATGATTGAGAAAGAACTTGGTTTTGTTACCGCTGCCAATGGTTCGTCTTCAGGACCTACTGCTTCTAGAGCTGATTCTCAGTCTCAGCGCCAACCACATAGCATTCATGTAAATCCCAAGTATCTAGAGGCAAGGCGTCTTCAGCAGTCAAGCAGGGTAAGGGCAAAAAAATATAATTATTTTTAATTATATTTGTGTATGTGTATCGAATTTAACTGATAACCTTACTATCATTTCTTATACTTAATTTTTTTCAAAAAAAAAAAAAAAAAAAAAAATCCCTTGCTATCATTTCTTATATTAAGTGGAAGACTTTGTAAAGTTCCTATTGATTTGTGTACTGTATGCTTCCTATACCATACCATATTAGTTAAGAGTATTATTTAGAAATTAGAACATTACATTTAATATCCATTTGTCAAAATAATTCTTAACTAAGAAGTATAATTTTAAGTTTTGGCAAATTAAATCAAACATATTGGAATGGTTTGGGACCCCTAGGATTTAAGAAATTTAACTTCATTTATGATTGATGTATCCACTTTGCGTAATGGCAACATAAATGGTTATATATCAACAATATGCACATAAATATTACGTAAATGACAGTGTGTCTAGATATTGTGGGACGCCAAACATGCCCCAAGAAACTATTTTTCTTTGCAAGCTTTTGATTAGGGATCAATCTTGGAATTTTCCTCTTATTAGCATGCGGAAAAATCATTGATATTACTCTTTTATATGAACTTTCGAAACGTTTCTGCATAATATACCTGTTAAACAGATTTTTAATACTAATTGACTAGTTATTACTTTCATTCTAGTCCTTATGTAGACATTCTTTAGTAGATTCTTAATGCCTTACCAGAGTGATCGTATGTATAGGTATTGTTTCTCATAGCATAAAATTAGGATCTCATTTTTGGTTTCTTTTCAGAGTTGTTTTAATCCTGTTATCCTCTCTATAATGTCCAAAAAGAACTCTGGATATTTGAATGTTGAAACCTTTAAGATAGCCTTAAAAAATATCTTCACATTGTCCTGGTCACAAATTATTCTCCTTTTGTCCTTATTATAAAAAATAAAGTGTCTTGACGATCGTCTTGGATTAACTTCTGTGATTGCTTATTTAAGTTGATTTTCCTGGCTGGCAAGTCATATCTGTGTCATGGATATTAGCATTTGCTATTCTAGTGATGACATTTAACCAGTGCAGACTGCACATGAACACATATGATGTAAGAAACACACAAACACATCCATACACACACGTGAACTTACAATAGAGCACATGTGAAAGATGGATGGTTCTCCTCCCTAGGAATCTAAATGGATGCTCTTGCCTGTTGAAAATTTCAAAAATATTTCAGTTTTTAATTACATTGGGTAATTCATGCAAAACTTTCAAACGGATCATTTTTCCATTTAAATTCCATCTCATTCACTTGTCTTTGCGTGTGTAAAGGCAAAAACAGGAGCTGATGGTATTATTGGGAGCATGGTTGATTCACCTGAGGATGTAGAGAGGCTAGACAGAACCACCAGTATGAGTTCAGGGAAGTCGTGGACGGATCCTCCAGCTAAGATGCGTGTATGGAAAGTGATTTTTTGATTTTTCTATTTTTATATACCCCTTCCTGTGGTTTCATGGTATTGAAAATTTTGCAGAATACTCAACTTCCTCATAGAGATGCCCTAAATGAGCCTGTTCGGGAGAAAAAAATTGGTGCAGCAGGTGGGGATTATGAATATGGTTCTGATATTCCCCGGCACTCAGGCTTGGGGATTGGAAGAGCCAGTGATAAGGTTGTGGAACAAGGATTTGACAAGCCTTGGTACGGAGCTGGTGGCAATATTGCGGATAAAATATCCAGCCAAAGGAATGGTTTTGATTATGAACATGGATTTCCAGGTTACCCGGCCCCCAGATCTGCAAAATCTGATGCAAATATAAAGCCAACACAGAGAATTGCAAGTAGAAGCAGCAGTGTGATGAACAGGAGCTGGAAGAACTCTGAGGAAGAGGAGTACATGTGGGATGATATAAACTCTAGAACGACAGATCATGGTGCTGCCAATAGCTTGAGGAAAGATCGTTGGACATCTGATGATTCTGAAAGATTGGTAAGCATTCAAAAATAGTAATTGGTCTTTTAAACGGTTGGGATTTAGTTGTCCATTTGGAAACACACTCGTTACTTGCTACTAGAGAAATCAACTGAGGGGAAACACTGTCTCACTTCTAGAAGGATTTCTTATTTTTGGAGCCCTATTTTATTTCAGATCACTTACTAGTTATTTGACAAAGTCAAGTTTCACATAACACAATGTGTCCATGGTTACCATAAGGAATTAGCACCTATTGATTTTTTGTATTGAACACTAGTTCCAAAACTTTTTTTTCCCTGAATAAAAATTTATTTCTTTTGTTCAGAACGCTAAAAAATTCAAAAAAAATCTTTCTTGTTTCTTTTCCATTCTGCTTAACAAAGAGTGACATTAAGAGAAGTGAATTTTATCTCATAAGATGCTTATGAAATTTCTTGGGGAAAAAAATTAGGGAAAGTTCATAGCATATCAATAACTTAATAGAGTATCCCAAGTTCGACCACCAAGTCTTTAGCTTGAGTGGTATCTCTGCTACTCCGAAAGTCAATAGGTGGAGGCTTAAGTTCTAGTTGGGAAGTAGGCGCGTGTCTTATAAGAAGAGAAAGGACTCATATAGGGTATGCTAAGTTCTATGTTTTTGCGCGTATTTAAAATTTGATATTACCAATCATGCATGTTATAACTTATAAGCATACTGTGTACATTAATCTCCCTTTGTAAAAAGTCAGTCATCCAACTGTGCAACGTGTATAAGGCTGCTCTAATATAACAATTTTTTAGAATATATGGGTACTATGTTGCTTGATGATCCATGACCATGGATCATCATCTTTGTTAACATTAAATGCTCAGCATATTTCCTTAGGATATATGGAAACTTGGATCTAAAATATGTTAGTGGCTGAGTATGCGAGTGTTCCTTTTCCCTATTTCTAAAATCATTATTGACTTAAACTATTGGATCTCTAACTTTTGGGTCAAAATGGTGATCAGGATTGATTTGCAATTTGATACTTCTGTGGAATTGTTATGAACTAGTTCTTTTCAGTCTTCACACAGGCTTGTGTCCTGTGGCATTGCCTTACAACTGCTATATTTGCAGATGTAATTTTCCATCTTTTTCCTTAAATACGTACTTGTTTGTGCATTCTTGTCCAGCACTCACTCAGTGTTTGAGTGTTGAAAAAATAGTATTTGATCCTTCCAGTCAAGTTATTTGGGTGATGCCACAATTGGTGTCTTCTTGTTGCTTAACGCAAGTCATTATGCTAACATTCCACCAGTTGGATTATTTGTAGTAATTGTATCTGCCTTAAAGAGAATCAGCCCAATGACATTGTCCCTTTGATAGAGATTACATTTTCCATGTGCAGGACTTCGACAACCACCTCCTAGAACCACAAACCACATATGATGTTGGATCAAGGGTCAATAGAGAAGCTTCAACTGATTCGGAATCCACAGAACATAAAGAAGAAGCAACTTTTGGGCATAGGATCTCATTTCCGTGGATGCAGGACCCCCGCTTAGCAGATGGGATCGTCCATTCTGGCTCTGGTAGAATTATTTCAGGTCATTCAGAAGGCCACCCTACCTCTTTAATTGGATTGTCTACGAGTACAAGTTCTTCTCTGCCCAGAATGTCACTCCAGTCACAAATGGGGTCATCTCATACTGGAGCCTTAAGCTTTGGGTTTTCTACAAAACCAGTGTCTGGCTCCTCTGGAATCATTTCCCAACAACACTCTTTAGGAGCTGCTTCACCTTCTGGACAGTCAACCATGCTCCAGCGTCCTCCCTCACCTTCTTTCTCTGAATACAATCCCCAGCAACTATTGCACAATTCAGCAGAGCAAGACCTTCCAAAACCCCCACGTCGGGCAGATCCAAGATTATCTCAGTATCCCCAAAAGTCAAACATGGGACCTCATAATCAATTGTCTCAGGATTCATTGCCAATGCCTCCACAGAGCACTCATCCGCGCAACTTGCTAAAATTGCAGCCTCAAAGCTTACATACATCATCTTCGTCGATGACATCTCTTCAATCCAGACACAATATTCCCTTTTCACAGCCGCCAAAGCCAGATATGACACAGTTTGAACCTTCTGGTCTAACTCAGAAACCGCGACTGCATCAGATCCCAGTTCTTGGGAAACCCTCAACCACAGGGAGCTCTTTGTCAGACCACACAAATTCTCTCGCTGCAGAAATTCCAGGGCAGTCAAGCACAAGCAGTTTGTTGGCTGCTGTTATGAAGAGTGGAATACTCTCTAATATTGCTGTTACTAGCAGCCTACCTAAATTGAGTTTTCAGGAGGATGCTGGGGCAATGTCTTCCAAGTCAGGTATACAGCCTCCCCTACCAAGTGGCTCTCCGCCTACCCAATTTACATCCGCAGGGCCCAGGGCGGCATCAGCATCTCTATTAAATCCTGCTTCCCATGATAGCACTTCAGCTTCTTCAACTCTTACCCAGGAAAAGGTAGAACGGCCACCATTGCCACGTGGTCCTCCACCTTCCTCTCTTACAATTAGTGTATCAGCACAAACTTCAAACACGGTGAATACTGTCTCTAATCCACTATCAAGTCTTTTGAACTCATTGGTTGCAAAGGGTTTGATACATGCGGAAAAGACAGAGTCACCTGCTTTTGTGCTATCTGAGATGCCTAACCGATCTGAAAACCAGATCCCAAGCATTGCTACCATTAGTTCGGAAGCAGTTTCTTCTGTTTTACCGCTTTCATCTACCGAAGATGAGCATCTTTTCTCCGAACCTGCTGTAAAAAATTCTGTTGCCTTACCTCAATCCACTACAGCAGACATAATAAGCCTTATTGGCTTTGAGTTTAAGCCAGATGTAATCCGGGAATCACATCCATCTGTGATCAGTGAACTGGTTGATGACCTCCCACACCAATGTGGCATATGTGGCCTTAGACTTAAACTTCAAGAGCGACTTGATAGACACTTGGAGTGGCATGCATTGAGAAATCCTGAATCAAACAGTTTATACAAGGCTTCAAGGAGATGGTATGCAAATTCAGGTGATTGGATTGCTGGAAAGATTGAACTTTCATCTAGATTTGAATCCACTGGTCATTTGAAAGATCCTGACAACGAAATGGAGAAGAGTGAGCGGATGATTCCTGCAGATGAAAGCCAATGCGTATGTGCCTTGTGTGGTGAGCTTTTTGAAGATTTTTACAGTCAAGAAAGGGATGAATGGATGTTCAAAGGAGCTGTTTACCTGACTATCCCATCTGCGGATGGTAAGACCGGAACTCAAAAAGAGGGTGCTGCTCAGGGTCCTATAGTCCATGCAAACTGTATGTCAGAAAGTTCATTTCATGATTTGGGTGTGGCCAACGGTGATTGAGTGGTAAGTCTTATGATCTTGTAACAGGATGCTCGGGAGGATGTCAGCAAGTCTTACCTTTATGATGATATATTACCTATGCCCCATCGAGGAGTTGGTCCAACCATTTGTGTTGCCCCATCTTATTAGATGATTGCTCTTTTTATGCTGGTTGTTTGACCTTATGGAAATTGACCATATTTTGTTACTGATTAGCCAAAGAATGTGGTAAATATGGTGGTTCAAATTTTCTGCATGTACTCACTAAAAATATAATAAAATGAATTGTGGACTTCAGAATGAAAGCTGTCCAAATGATGGGTCCTAAACGTTGTGGTACTTTCTGTAGCTCTAGATGGTCTTGGTTATTATTATAATCTTCTTCATCATCGGGGACACAGGGTGGTAGTCTTGTTAGCATCCGACACCCACCCACCAGCTGAATTCCGTTTCTAAAGAATGATTTCTCAACTATTTCATACTTTTGGGCAATGGGGTTGTCTAAACTATAAAGAGGGGTGCATGTCATTTCATGGCTAAATGTGTTATATTATGGCTTTATGACTTAGAAGCAAATAAGATTCTAGCACCGACTCGCATCCTGTTTCACATTCAACTTTTCAGGGATTGAGTGGGTCATCTTTTGCAGTGGGAAAAAGTGTATCCGATGTTATTATTAGCAAGTTGTTATTAAGGACTTGCACTTGCAAAGAAAACAATTAAATCTAAAAATTATGTCCCTCTGGATGATCCAGTCTGCCCCTTTTGCAAAATGACATGCATGGCTGGAACACTTGGGAATTCTAGAACCAGATTGTGGATTTTGTACTTGTGCTGCTGATGGGAATTTTTGCCTTTTATAAATGGATGGCTAATAGTATCTCTTACTCTGGTGGCAGGAATCTGATGCGTAATGATTTGAGGTGAGGGAGAGACCATCATAATTATGGAGGAAATGGTAGAGAAGCTGATGGAGAAAATTCAGGTTTACTATTTATAGCTTGCATGTGCAAGTAGTCCTCCTATGTCAATTGACCTGTCTTATAAATGCTGCCAAAATCTGCTTATTTATTTGTACGATCTCTTTTCCTTTTTACAGTGCAGAAATGAAAGAGAGATATATTAACCATTTTTCTTCTCTCGTGTGGTTGGTGTGTAGTTCTTTATGCTTGTTTTTTCATTTTGCTAAAGCAAGATTTTTTGCTCCAGTTCAGTATCCATTGATAGCAGCAAAACAAGAAAGCTCCGGCCATTTCTGTTCACTTTTCAGCTTCAAAATCAGTAGAAGGCAAGCAACTTATTACTATAGTAAATGAGCTTCCATTTTTTATTTTTCCATCTTGTTTATCTGTTTCATGTTGGTTGATTGTCATTTGAATGTTTATGTTTCTGGAAAAATATATATGTTAAATTGTACTTCCCCTGCACAAGAGAGTGTTTATTGGCTTTTGTTAGTGTCTGGTGGTTCTCTCTCTCTCATGTTGGTCGTAGGCTTTTGTTGCTTACATGACAATCAGTGCAGAAGCATCGGATTTTCTGTGCCTGAGGTTCTGTTGAGTTCTTTGCAAGGCGCTGTTGTTTTATCCGAAGTACTTGGTTCTGGGAAATATTTAATGTTTCGGTTCTGTAGCATAGGACTAATAACTTAGGAGTTTTTGTAGTTGGGAGATTTGAACGTTTTCTCGGTTTTATCATATTCTCTTATCAGCCACTAGAGTGCATTTGGATTTGGAGTTTAAATTCGATGTGAGCATGAATTAATACTTTCATCTGTTCCATGGATTATACTTTCACTAGCCATGAAGCTCATTGTTATGACATTGGGAGCAACTCGGACAAAGTGATTTCTTGTCAAATTGTGATACAGTTTCTATCAATTTTCCGGTAGAAAGGAAATCAGAAAACTTCATGACATCTCTGTTGTTCCATGGAAAGAGAGCCCTCAAATAAATAGAAGGAAATCAAGTCCTCCGTGAAGGAGGACAATGCAGGGTGATTCTCGTGGCGGACGCAATAGTCACAGCAGGGGTGCGGTGCGTAATTAAGGTTGATGCATTGAGTTCATTTAACTCGTTTGGGGGTGCATTGTGATTCTCAATTCTCATACTAACATATTTTGCTAGTAGGGTTTGCACATGAATTAAAGCTATTCAGGGTTGTAAATGAATCGAGTGTACAATGATGAGATTCTCGTTTGAGTTGTGAGCATGTCCTTAGTAGTTTTTTTTCTTTTTCTTTTTTCTTTGGTGAGAAGCTTAATAATAAAAGATAAAAGAAATTTCAATGAAAAAGTTTGGAGGTTGTCATTACCAGTATGATAGGTTTTATGATTTTTGGAGCTCAAGAACTGAGTTGAGCTTGTTTGCTAACAAATGCAAGTCTAATTTTAGATTCTGCTGTTTGTTGGAGGTAGGTTTGAGAGTGACCTATTATTGCTGAATGCAGAGGGTGATGATCAAAGTATATATTAGGAAGACTGGTTCATTGAACCATAATTTGAATGGTTTATTGACAATTTATTTTTATGTTTTTTTTCATGGTAAGTATACATTTACAAATTTCTTTTACTCTTCCATCAATTATAAGTAAATCATTTGAATTGTTAGAGAGGATGAAGACAATAGAAATTGTATGGAATCAAAGAAGTCGACTGTGGGTTCTGACAATTCTCAATGGAAATTGAAAACAACCCATGGGGTCCCTTTGTTTCTTGTTGGCTTCCAAGTGAGTTAATTGCACATGATGGAAAAGCTGAAGCACGAAAGGTCCGCATTTATGTTTTGATTTTTGTTACTCCAAAGCTTTTGCTTTATCCCATCAACGGTCTAAATAATGTTTGGTGTACGAGAAAGTGCAACATGATTTTAATACTTAATTAGTACATTGATTCCAATACAAATACTATGTGATTATATGAAATGTAAATTAAATTCATGTACATATATGCCCTTGTGATTGTATGTCCAGATTTAATTAGTTGGTAATACATGGATTTTGTCGAATTTCTATGAACAAGAGAGGATCTGGGTTGTGAGGCAGTTTTTGGTTGAAATAAGGGAGCTTTTTCTACTCATAATATATAATTTGGAAAATTGGCATTAGATGTGAAGGCCAGAATAAATAAGAAAGAGTAGTAGAGTTGCATAACTAATATTTGATGTACATATTATGTAAATACTGCATATAGAGTTGCATTACATATCATGATCTCCATTAATTCATAAATAAAAGACTACATGAATTAGTTCATTAAGCAAGGAGCATATATATTTTATGGAGAAGCCTTGGGCTTATGGCGTTGGGTGTAAATGTAGTCCAGGTGAGCCTCTGCAACCACCCTTCTCTTCAGACATCCATCATCTTTCTCATCATCACATTCCTCCAATCCCATTAGCTGTCCAAAATTATCCAAAAACAAAGTTAAACTATCAGAGCTAGCCAAGCCAAAAAAAGAAGAAAGAAATTTTAGTGTGTGTGTGTGTGTGTGTGTGAAAGAGAGTATTTATATTAACATCGAGCCCAAACACAGGAAGAAAAAAAAAAAAAGGTGTAGGTTATTACATTAAAGAGATCGTCTTCTTCTGTCTTTATGGGTAAACCTGCATCATGACTCATCCCATCTGCTGTCATCATCTCTTCACCTGTAAAAATTGCAAAATTAATATTTGTTATTTAGCTAATACTCTCATATATAGTTTAACTAAGAGGCAATAGAAGAGTCCAATATATATATATATATATATATATATATAATATACACACACACATACAAAGATGAAGAAAAGGCAAGAGAAAGAAAATAGAATACCTTGATGGGGTGGCAGGAGACGAGCAGATGCTGTTGAGTGGGAGAAGATGAGTAGGAAAAGAAAGAGGAAGATGAGAAGTGCATGCTGAATTTGCTTCATGGCTTCAGATTTTTTTAGAGAGAGATAGATGCAAGCTTAGAGAGGAGGGTTGTAGGAGGGTGTTGAAGATTTGTGTTGTATATATAATTGCAATTACCACTGCTGTTGGTTTTATGGTGGTTTTAGTCACGTGAAATTCCAAAGGCAAGCACTCGCAAACAATTATGGGTGGGTCACACCTATTACCAATTTTTTTTTCCTCCATCTTTATTGCAATTAGGATGGCAACGTGGACGGGTGTATCCTCCCCGATCCCCGCAATCATTTAAAAACTTTACTTACGTCTCCATCTAAAACCGTTTAATATCTTTATTTCCGTGAATACTCACCCCACATCGCCCTGTTTAACATCTTTATCTCCACGCGGACTCGCCCCACCCCATTTAAGACCAAAAATTCTCTTTGTTTAATTTTTTTTATCAATTAAAATTATATAATTATTGCAAAGATTCATAACAAAAAATGGACAATAAATAGTTTAACGTAAAATTCAACATTAAAAACATTTTAAATGGTTGTGCAAGCTACTTGTTTTAGATTTTAAAATTTGGTTACAAAACAAACTGTCTCAATATATATATTAACGAAGTAGGAGTACTAATGTGAAATATATATACTAAAGAAATAAAGTTATTTAAGTAATTTACCAATCTAAACGCCCGGAGGGGGGGCTCGTATCAACTCGCGCGAGTTTTCATTACGCAAGTTTTTGTAACATTAAACTATTTCCGTCCAAATAAGTTAAATGGTTTTTCAAAATCACCAAAAACGAGGCGAGACGGAGTAGGTATCTACAGGAACGAGGCAAGTTGCTATTCCTATCCGCAATCCATGTTCAGTGAACATTGTGAACTCTAATGTCCAAAATATATATATAAATTTAGAAATGAATTTAATTTATGTGAAAGAAGTGATAGAATTCTTTACTTAAAAAAAAATTGTATCAATATATCATACTTTCAAAATAAAATAAAAAAGTAGTGGAGTTTAGAGAGTGGAGCTTAGTCTTCGTAATTTGTGATTAGGATGAAAAGCAAAAGACTAGTTGATGTTAACCGGAAAAGAGTCAACAAGTCAACCTTTGACTGCCCCTGTCTGACAGCTGTCTTCCACATCAACACGGAACTAATTCCATAGTTTCTTTCACACGTGCCGACTACTTATTTTTATTTTTAGTCATAATCAAGGATTTGTTTTACATAAGGAGAGTCGTACAACACTAATTTTTGGGTTTGACTTTCCATTGCATGTGGGGTTTGGTGGGTGATAGATATTATGTTCACATATTGTCCCTTCCATCACTATAGGTATTGTGTAGATATAGGACCTTTCGTCAATGTTTCTGCCACCATTGCAAAAAGAACAGGGCTACTCCAGAACGAACAATCGTATTTCTACTTATTTTTTGAGTCGACACGTGTACTTGATGAAAATTTTATTTTAAAGAGTTTTTTCGCATTCACACGAGTCAATATGAGTTATTGTTGTGATGAGGCATGTAGTCGGTATTCAAAATTAAAGAGAGCATTTTTAAAAGAGATGATAGAATAATCACCATTTATTGTAATTAATTAATGTGAACCAACATATTTGATCACCTATTTGTCGTAATTAATTAATGTGAAGTGCTGGTAGTTACGTGACTAATTTTTTATACATGATTAATTTACTCCTTTCATTTGTAGTGTAAAAAAGTCATTAACTACAAAGTTGATGCATTTTTAACTTGGTGATATGTACTTCTATTTATAAAAGAGTGGGAGCATTTTTTAAGCTCAAAAGGCTTCGAAAGCTTTGACCCACATGAAAGACCTCATTTTAGCTTTATTAGCTACAATTTTTTATTTATTTATTTATTTTCCAAGGTAGGAGGGTACTGCCTAATCCTAGTGACAAGAAAGGTGGAGGAAAACTTTATTATTATGACAAGGGGAATTGCTCTCTCTCATGCCTAATGGGGGTATATATGATAATTTGGTTTTGAGTGAAGTAAATCTTTTGGTGCAATAAAGTTGAAGTGAAAAAAGCGACATAACTTTACAAACCACTGCACATTTTGATCTGATTTACGCCTTGGACGGATGACAATATAATTTTGTGGGATTCATTCAAGCTTTATAGTGTTAATGCATTGAGATATATATATATATATATATGCATATTTCCAACGTGATAAATTAGGCAAACAAAGCTTTAAATGTCAAAGTAAATATATTTATAAGATTTGATAATTGAATCTCAATTTAGCACGAGATATGTGAGAGTAAAAAGGTAGTGGTCACAAATTAAAGCCGCCAAAATTAAATAAACGTTGGACTTTGGTATGGATAATTGCGATGATTTAGGGAAACCCCAACTCATAGTGATAGTGTAGTGTTCATGCATTACCTCATCCACTTTGGAAGGTTTGAACCAATTAGTCAAAAAGGCTACCACAAAAGTAGCATTCTTTACTTTGTTCTTGCATGACCTATTCAACCCACTGTGTGTTGTGTGTGTGAGAGAGATGGATGTATATATTGGTTTGTTTTTTTCCAAATGAAAGGAAGTGCTTTTGAATTGGATTAGACGTGCATTATCAGCTATTCTTCCTCCACCACACAAGCCTTATCGAGCATGTAGATTTTCAGGGTTGAAATGAACGATTACTAAAGTGAGTATAGGTCACATTCCAATGAAGAGTAGGAAAAAATAAAAAAATAAAAAGATAAAAAAATAAAAAAAATCTCATACCCTCAACGTCCTACAATAAATGTCTTTTTTAAAAACGTAGAACTTTTTAAGGGGACATGTAATTATTGTATTGTTCTTTTTAAAAATTACAAAGATATTCTATCAAGTTTAAATATATATATAATCAAGTTTGAAATTTTTTAAAATTTTAAGAATATTTTATGAAAAAATGTAAAATATATTGTTTAAACTTAATAAGTGGACAAACATTCTGGACAATTCAATAAAAAAAAGATAAATATCTATTATGAAACGGCCAGTGCAGTGGTTTTGATGGATTAATGCATTCCTAACTCACCATGCAATACCGGTATCAAATTTGATCGTAAGTGGACTCTGCCACATTCCTGGAACAACACTATGCTACAAACCTAAGAAAGAAAAAAAAAAATAAAAAAAAAATTAAATGGGATGATAAATATGTAACGTCAAATATCTGAAATTATTGTCAACTACCGTTATCTTGGGATATTACGTTACAAACTGATTTTGACTAGGGAAAAAAGAATTTTGACTCATTTTTGGCTTCTGGGTCTTGGCATACAGTACCTTCTCTACTCCTACTACTATTTTAATAAATAAAAGAAAATCTATTATGATTTAAAGAAGCATCAAATTTAATGTAACACACTAACAACTCTAACATCAATTCATGCAAAATGATAGATCATCCACTCCGTTTGTGATTTAAAATTGTCGGTTTGACTCCCGTGTGGATTGATTTATGCACAAGTTGCACAAATATAAACAAGAAAAATATATATATATATTTGATATGATACACATGACAAGATATACTAATCAATAAATTTTATTGGATCTAATCAAATGTCCAAACAAGGAAGTACTTAGTCCACTATTTACAAAAAATAATTACATATCCAGCTAGGACAAAAGGATTTAAAATTGATTTATTAATAAAATTTTAAGTATGCCCTTCTATTTGGATAGGATATGCCGACAATACTAAATTACATTTTGTGGATGCACTGATTGAGGCTTTTATTATATATATATATATATGTATAAAAGATCTCTTTAAATTCTAATATGTTTCAATTCCATATAGACAAACACAACTATTGTGAAATTGTTTTATTATTATTATTATTATTATTTTATATAATTTTATTCAAAATGTTAAATTTTTACATTGAAAGCTATGAATATACAAATGAGACTGTTCAAATTCAGGGAATGATCAAATAGAGCCTAAACATTTAACTTAATATTCATACTTCTAAAAATGAAATGATCAAAACAAACATAAATGAATAAAATCAGAGTAAGAACACAATTTTGTGTGGTCTGATTGTGTGCCTATGTCTATAAAGCATCTGAAAGACTATTCATCCATAATTGTTGAGGCGAATATCACTACTATTTTAATCATAATAAGTCGGAAAAGTTACTCCAATACAGACACATCAATTGATCAATTATATTTATAATTGGGATTAATATGGCGCTTGGCTGAAGAAGTCTGAACATGGGTCTCTTGGGCCCGCAAAGTATGTTTTTTGGTAAACGAGCCAAAGGGAGACTTGATGACAGACACACCAATTGATCAATTATATTTGTAATTGGATTAATATGCGCTTGGCTAAAGTCTGAACATTGGCCTATTGGGCCGTGCATAGTTTTTTTTAGTAGACGAGCCTACTTGAAAATGGCCTGGACCAGTAGATATTTATTGATGAAGCCAGCTCAAGCCTTTTCCTTCCAGCTGCAGCCGCACAGGATAGTCTTATGAAACATATTTGTTTGGGCTATACTTATATAAGTATGATTGGGCTTCATTTATACAAATGTGCTCAAAAGCCCAACTCAATATATGTATTATAATTTTTTCTTTTTCCGATAAGGAAGTCAAACTCAATATTGTTAAAACTTGGTTTGTTTATTAAACTAACTTAGAAAAATAAATTCTAGATTTTGAATAAAAATGAATAAAGCGGAAAAGTGGTATGTAAAGCAACTAGTTGGTTTCCAGTTCACAAATAGGGCTTTTTTAAAGTGGGGAAGATAAAATGCCATGATTTAAAGCAACTAGTTGGCATATAAACTTTTTATATATAAGTTTCTATATATACCTAATTAAAAATAATTTCGCTTTCAATCAACTACAGTAGGTCTTTTTATAATGATGCAACAAGGACTTGCCCTTTTGTTTTCAGTTAACACAAATTTTGGCATAGGCATTCGACTGGTATGAGGCCACTTAAATATTGGTGGATCAAATTGCTTCTAATGTTTTATTTATTATTAAAAATAATAATAATAAAATAAAAAAAAATAAAAAAAAAAACAATCAAGACTTTTCTCTGAGAAAAGAAGCAAGACAATTCGCAGCTACTACTCTCTCTCTCTCTCTCTCTCTCTCTCTCTCTCACACACACACACACACACACACACACATGCCAGTTTGGGAGCCATCAGCCATATATAACTCTTACAACCATACCATATAATATGGAAGTACATCTAGAACGAAAGCGACAATTTCAATGTTTTCACGTGAACTTTGAATTATCCTCTCTCTTTGTTTTTTCCAATCTGATTTCTTATAAAAGATTTAATATACGTTGAGAAGCCTCCTAATCAGGTTTGTAGTTCTTATTTATTTATTTTCTTTGTTGTCTAGCTAGAAATTTGCTGATGTGTGTGGGGACAGATCTAGGAAGTTGTTGGAGGGGGCAAAAGTAAATTTAGTGTAATTTTAAGAGAGACAAAATTAAAATTTTATAAGTATATAATTAAAAATAAGGAAACTTAGTGGTATTGTACATACAAATTTTGTAATCGGCAAATAAGAATAAAATATAGAGCAAAAATAATATTTTATTAAATTAGAAAATTTGGAGTACAATCCTTTATAATAATATTTCTTTTCTTTACAAAGAATCAGGTTATCTGATTCAATCTCCTTTTTTGTTGGTTAGATCCAAGAGCTGCACGAGTTTGATCTTGAATCACCTTGAAATTTGGATGAAGAACGGCACAATTTGATTTGTTTTTTGTTGATCACCGTTGAATTTGTTGAAGAATAGCACGACTTTGGATGTGCTTGGTGTTCTTCGTCTTCAAGTCTGAATTATGCGAGTTCGATTCCCACTACCCACTCTCTTCCTTCTGAATTTATAAGTCTCTGGATTTCTGAACTCTGAATTTGTGTGTATTTGTGTACCCCTTTCTTCTTCCTCCAAGTCTCTATTTATAGGCTTCTTGGATTAATAGGATGATGACACGTATCTTCTCCTGATAACAAAAAAATTATAACTGAGTCCTGCCGGTTATATTAATTATTCTTAAAAATAATTATTCCAAATATATTTTATTATGAATAATTATCTTTCCATTTAATCATCTGGGCTGGACTAATTAAATAATTTAAGTAGACCAAGCTTGGACCAATTAAATAACTTAATTAAATATTAGACCCATATTTGATGGGTCAATTTGTCAAAACCAAAGCCTACTAAAATTTTAGTGTCTAGAGGTATATAACGGGTTTGTTGTTTTTATTTATTTATTTTCTTTGTTGTCTTGCTTGAAATTTGTTGACGTGTGTAGGGACAGATCTAAGAAGTTGTGGGAGGGGGGCAAAAGTGAATTTAGTGCAATATTTTTGTAATTTTAGGAGGGGCAAAGTGAAATTTTATAAGTATATAATTAAAAATAAGAAAATTTAGTGGTATATAACAATAAAATAAATAAATAAAAAAATCATATAAATTGACCATAACCATCAAACATTTTTCTTTGTATATAATTAAAAATAAGAAAACTTAGTGGTATATAACAGTAAAAAAAATAATGATAATAATTTACAGATAAATTGACCATAACCATCAAACATTTTTCTTTGTATAAATTAAAGTTACATCTAACATTTTCTTTTCAATGATCAACTCCTATCAATTTAAGTTAAAATTTTGAAATATTATATACTTAGAATAGACTAATTATATTTATTATTTCTCAAATTGTGTAAAAATATATCTCCCAATAATAATCAACCAGTGTCATGTCTGACCCCACATAATTTTTACAAACCTACTTAATATAGGGTTGATTCTTGCACCGAATAGTTACAGTGAATTGTTAGATCTACTTTTTTAATTGGCCAATTATGCAACAAATAAGGAATTGGAGTCTTCCCCTTAGTTGTATTTTGTAAAAATACTCAATTAAAAATTATTCGATTAGGTAATTCTAATTATAATAGCTAAAAAAAAAAAAAGTATAACTTGAATCAGATATCAATTTTTGAGTAGAAATTACAATTACAAAATTTTACTTATAATTTGATAAGGGGATATAAATGGAATATTGAGTAGTTCAGGCGAATTTTCTATGAGATCTTATATATGATGGTTAGATTTGATGATCTAATCAATGAATATAAATGGAAGATATCAATTTTATATTTAATTTTTTACTACTAAGCAGGATCATATTTTTTGTTCACAATCTTAGATGATAATAAGATAACACTACATGTTCCATGAATATTGTTTTTCTTTCCCAACAACATGCATCCAAGAAAGATAGAAGATTTAATAATTTAAAGTCAAACTATAAATCTTTAAAGACGACGGAAGAAATATAAGGATAGTTGGGGCTTGTTTGGTTGGATTTTAATGTCAGCAAGTTGCAAATTTCTCTAATAATTGGAAAAGCAAATGAGTTGTCCAATCTTCTTAGTCAAACCTTGGCTTCAATGCGGTACTCTGAAGGTCAATATCTCTCTGTTTCAAATATAAAAATTCAACAGAAAGAGAATTCTGAATCAAGTGTATTTGCAATTTTTTAAATATATTTTTGGTAAGCAACTTTTCAGTAATTGTTTTTTTAAACCTAAGTTCCAAATTCAATGAATTGTCACAACTAGATCTAATATGCACTCGTTTTTTTGGCGCGCATTATTTTTTTTATCATTTCTTTTACCCTTGCAAAACATAAAGAAAAGCAGTACAAATCAATAAAAGCAATTCTTAACTGCCAGAACAAGAATATCAACAGGAATATAGACAAGAACAATATTCTTGGTGAGATGACTTTTAAAAAGTTGCGCGATAGCATGGGCTACTTCATTGCCATGTCTATATACAGGATGAGAAGAAGCTTCGAAGCTTCACTTTAATATCATACTATATTGTTTGAATTTCAACTGATTTGTGATCAACTTCATAAACAGCCTTCACAATAATTAAATAATAACATTCAAATGATACGTAGTCAAATTTACAATTCAAAGCCCATAAATTTTTTTTTTTTTGGCGCCCATTAAAATAAATTGGAGTTAGACAAAGGAAGTGACCTAGCAACCGGAAATCATATCTAGAAACATTTCAATTGGTGATATAGTAAAAGAGCGTGCTTTTTTGACTTTAAATTGGGTTATATGTATGTATATATACTTCCCAATATATATTTATAATATAATATAGTTGTAAATATCATTCAAGGGTGCTGCCTAACCCTCAACAAACATTTCTAGAATCTCAACCACTTTTGAGGTTCTATGCCTACATGGAAGAACTAGGACCAATAATTCTCACAGCTGCATGTTATATACCACCTACTTAGCTTCTCTTTCTTGAATGAAATTTTCTGCTGTATTATTTTATGGGAATCGGTAAAATTTTCACATAACCTTCTGTTTTTGTAAGTTTTTGAATAAGATGATAAGCGACCAACTCATTATACCATTCACATATAATATACAGAGATGCATAGAATCACTGACGGATCCCGCCCCCACCCCGCGGGGGCCTTGGGTGTGCTCAAGCCCACCCCAAAATATATATATATATATATATATATATATATATTTTAAACCTAATTTTAGCACAACTCGAAGAAAAAAAAAAACCGATTAAGCTCAACACTATTCATTGGTTAATTTTTTAAGTCTTTTCATTCGATAATGTATTCAAAACAATCTCCTGAACTTCATGCTAAAATTGGCTTGATTTGAAGTTTGTCCAAGATCGTTGTCAATTCTGGTTAAGGCTTGTTTGTGACATGTTTAATTTGGCAAAGAAGAGAAGTATCGATGAAAACTCTATATATAGATATACATGTCTGTTTGACTATTGATGCAATAAATGCATAATTCCTTATATAGCTTTTTGCCCATAAAGAAAGCGGGACATAGTTTGACATTAGACTTGCAACTTGCATCCCACGGGATTTTAATTTTGTAAATGCAGTAACTGTAGGTAAACTGATCCAATATTTCATAGCAGTATTAAATAAACTTGTTAAGAGTACTACTGTACATGCATACATATCTATGTATATATAATTATATATATATAAAGAGAAAGAAAGCGAGGTTTGAGTTTAAAAATCTTATTTTTGCTTTCATATTTCACGGTGACTGTACCAAATGAAGAAACTATTATATATATATATATATATATATATATATTAACTACTATATATATACACATCTTTAGCCCTCAAAGATTTACATGACTGCTATGAGGTAGATACACTACTCATCATGTCAGTGACTCGTTTTCGTGGAACTCAGTTCCTACTCCTCCCCATTTTCTTCGTTCTATATACAAATACAGGGTTCTGGGTCGGAGCCTCCTCAACCCAAGAGCTTCTGAGAGGCTTCACAGCCACTCCTGACTCATCAGTTTCGTCTTTTCAATCACTTCTAAGTGATTCCACTGGCAACTACTCTCTGGGTTTTCTACGAGTCAATAGAACCCAACTCGCTCTTGTGGTCCTCCACGTTCCATCTTCGGAGCAACTCTGGATCGCCAACACCACCCGCTTGCCACGATGGTCCAAACCCACTCGGCTATTCTTCAATGGCAGTCTCGTTATTTCAGACCCTCACACGAGGGTGTTTTGGTCGAGTAACACCGACGGCGACCGGGTTTTGCTCTCCAACACCTCCAATATCCAAATACAAAAGCTCGACGATTCGCACTCTGTTATCTGGCAAAGTTTTGACTTTCCAACAGATACTCTCGTGGAAAACCAAAATTTCACAAGTACCATGACATTGGTTTCTTCAAATGGGCTTTATTATATGCGGTTAGGATCCAATTTCATCGGTTTATACGCAAAGTTCAAGGAAGGGTCAAACTCGGATCAAATCTATTTGAAGCACAAAGCAATGGAAGCCAAAGCACACATCATTGATGGCCAAGGACCCATTTACGCACTACTCAACTCAGACGGGTTTCTAGGTATGTACCAAAACGAGTCAGCACTGGTTGACGTGCAAGCCTTTAGTAGCTTTCAACAAACCGGATCCGGAATCCGCCGGGTCCGGATCGAACCTGACGGGAATCTCAAAGGGTATTACTGGACCGGGTCGAGTTGGATCCTAGACTACCAGGCAATATCCGACACGTGTGAGTTACCGAGTTCTTGCGGGTCATTCGGTCTCTGTCAACCGGGTAGGGACTGTTCTTGTCTGGACAACCGGACGGAGCACAACTCCGGCCGGTGTGTATCGCCGGAGGACAGTTACGGCGACTTTTGTAGTTCAGATGATAACAAGTATGTGGTTTTGAGAAGGAATGGTGTGGAGTTGCCCTACAAAGAGCTCATGAGGTACGAAGAAATGGCGTCACTAGAGGCATGTGAGAGTGCATGTGACATCAACTGTACATGTTGGGGTGTGGTGTACAGTAACACCTCTGGGTTCTGCTACAGGATAGACTATCCCATACAGACGTTGGTGGGTGTTGGGGATGAGACCAAGGTGGGCTACTTTAAGATGAGGGAAGGTGCAGGGAAGGAAAAAGTGGACGTTGGGTTACGAACTGGAATAGGGTTACTTTGCGGAGCAGTTTTGGTATTTGGCGGGGTTGTTGGGTTTGGTTTGTATAAGTTATGGAGAAGAAAGAGAGGTGTTAGTGGGTACGTGGAAGATGATGGTGGGTTGGGTGTGGGACCATATAAAGGCTTGGGGTCCGCAAGCTTTAGTTCAATTGAGCTTGGGGAAAGGTGACGTAAGGGATGACGTTTTCTTGGGTTGGGGTGTCTTTGGCAAGGCTACTCTAAATGCTAGGTGATTTTAAGTCGATTGTATATTAAGTAATTATTATTAGTTTATCGCAGCTTCCCATCTTTCTCAGGAACCAAACACATGAGGACATGTTGCCACGTCCTTTTTTTTGAATGATACAAGTTGACAAAACCGACAATGCTTTTGTAGATTTCATTTCTGTATATTTTAATACAAATTGCATCAACTTTTGTGTTCTTTCTAATAATTCGATGGTGACCTTCATTTGTAAACTTGCAAAATTGCAGTGCGTTGGACGAATTAACAGAGTTTGTTATATGTTTCATTATTTTAATCAGTCTTATTTTCATCTTTGTTCTTAAACTAACATTAAACATAGAGAAAATAATATTATCTTTTACTCAGATCTAGTTTGGTATGTCGGAATGGAATGAACATTTCATTTCAATCATTATCTTATTTGGTATGTGTGGCGACTTTGTGGGCAAGTGTGTGTGAGCTAATGCAGGTGGCACCAGTAGACTATCACATTAGGCGAGCTACAGGTGCAAAATCCCACATCGTCTGGGTATGAATGAGGCAAGTGTTATATATAAATTCAACACCCATCTATGACACAACGTTTAAAGTCGTGATAGTTTTTTTTTTTTTTTTTGATAACTTAGAACTCCCCAAGACACGACCCTTACGGACCCCACCCTGAAGCACCAAACTGGGGATACGGCAGCCTGCCCCACAGCTGCAATACCGGGTAAGTCGACGAAACTAGAGGCTTAGTAGAGGACTCGAACCCTGGCATCCTGTGTGGCAGTCCCAAGCCCCACCATCACTGCTAGCCCGCCGGGAGCAATCGTGATAGTTATGAACCCATCAAAACTCGGTAGTTAAGCGTTGCTTAACCTAGAGTAGTACCAGGATGGGTGATCCCTAGGAAGTCTCTGGTCCACGAGAGCCAAAAACGGACAATATTATGTCTAGCTAGGGCGAGAGTTGTTACAAATGGTATCAAAGTCTAACCTAACCGGAAATGTGGCCAACAAAGACGTTGGGCCCCAAAAGAGGTGTGATTGCATGTTCCGTAGTTAACCTGAAGTAGTATCAGAATGAGTAACCCTCTAGAAGTCCCAGGCCTTAAGTAAGACACAGATACTATTTGGACACCGCTATATATAAATATAAAATTTTATTTATATATATGTATTGAGTAATAGTAGTATTATAAAACTTTAATTCATTTTTAATTTTTATACCAAGAGTTGAAATGATTTTATATCTGATTTTATATCATATATACATTTATTTCACTATTTTGTCATAATAGTGTTTTTATTCTAAATGAACAAGTATCATTTAATGTATGCTTTGCTTGTAATCATACGTGCATAATGTCAATCTTTCTTAAAGAAAAAAATTGAACACTTTAAAATGTCTTCATATTATTTCCAAGATTCTAGAATAGAATTGTGTTATAAATGTTTGTAAGTGTCGGCTTAAGTTAGTGCGCAAAAATGTCGGTAAAGTATCCGAAAGTGTTAAAAAAGTGTCCAAAATAATAAATTTTTATTTTTATTTACAAACATGTGTATGAGGAGTGTCCAACGAGTGTCGGTGTCCGACACAGGTACGGTTTCTTCATAGAAGTGTCCGTACTTTATAGAGTATGACATTTAAATTGAGAATAACCATATACTTGGAATGAATTTCTTGACCACCACCACAACCACCGCCTTCCGCCACCACCGCCTTCTACCCCCACAACCACCACCACTTTTTGGCACCACTGCTATAACCGCCACCACGACCTTCCACTACCACCACTTTTACAGCCGCTACCTTTCACTACCACCACTTAAAATGGTTATTGTCATTTAATTCCTACATAATTTTATATTTACAACCAAATAATAGAATGAGAATGACCATTTTATTCCATTCCTATTTTTATTTCATTCCAATTTCTGCGTACCAAACTAGGCATAAGAATATAGACGAGACCATGGTATCATCTCTTTAAATTTTGTAACTTTTTCAAACTACCTATCTTGTGTTATTATTGTGGCCTTCCATGCCGTTTTGGAAGAAAGATTGTTGACACATATATGTATTATGTGATCTCATTCCTAACCGGTTACCTGATGTAATACCCCTAATTTAAAAAGATAAACCTAGAATTAATTTAATTGTTTAAGTTGCATTTTATTTATTTAATTGTGAATTGAATTTTAAATTATTTACTTGTTTATTTGAATTACTTAATTGTGTGAATTGTATTGACTTTTAATTAAGTTTCAGTTTTTATTTTAATTGTTATTTAATTGAATTTAGGTTGGTGGAATTAATTATTTAATTGTATTTAATTTTTCTGTACTATGTTAATTGAACTTAGGGTTTTGGTTTTATTTATTTTTTCTTTAGCCGACTTTGTTTTCTCGTATAGTATTAGGACTAGGATTAGGGCAACCTTAATCCTATAAATACAGGTATTAAGTTCTACCTAGGTTTTAGAAAAAAAAACAAACCTATTCACGTCTGTGGGGGTAGAAAGAGAACAGAGGAGGAATTTTGCAGTAGGAACCGCCAGAGACCTTAGAAGATGACGTAGAGATTTTGAACAAAAGTCTCAAAGGCAAGTTCTGTCTTAACTCTCTCCCTTAGGCCTCGTGTTCTTTACATACTAGATTAGTTCCAGGTTTATTGATAACATGTTTAAAAAAAAAAACAATATATGTTATCTGTTTCCATGATTAAAGTTTAAGTCGTAACTTTTATACTTGATAAACTGTTTAAATTTGAAACTTTCCTGCACTGTTTTCTATTTAAATCCATGTTAGTAAATGTAATAAGGACTTAAATAAGGGTGGGAACTTACTGGGATTTAGTTACAGCTTCTAGGAACCTTGGCAGGGAAGTACCGGAGGTGAAAACGACGCCGAAAAAATAAAACACGGAGAAGAGGAGGGAGAGAGAGCCAGCTCCTTTTGGATTAGAGCCGACTCCAAGTTTTTTAAGAGCCTGCTCCATTTTGCTTCTTTCAGTTTTTCTTATTCTGTCAACGTGTTCTTCAGTTTTCAGTGAGGAAGCTTTTTGGTTATTGAATTTTTAAGTTTTCTAAGGAGAATAAATACTGTATTGGAAGTTTTAAAGGTTATCCAGAGTAGGATTAAAGTCTCAAGGGATAGAATAGTACAAATTTAAACACCGAGTTTTAATCGTTAAAATTGTATGGATTTCTTATGTGCCTCACAGACATGTTTGTATTCGGACATTTATATTTCTTAATTATATTAGAATTTTCTGTGAGAGCTTGTCCACTGCTAATTACGTATTTGTAGAATGGAAATATATGCTAAAAATCTATAATTTGCTAAGGATTAATTGATGGTCAAATTGTAAAATTTAATGCATCAATTTGTTGGACAGGAGATTAAAGGTATGATAAATTGCCTAAATTTATTATACAGGTTATGGAATTAAGTAACCTAATATTTATTTAGGCTCTGTTAATTATGAATACTGGGAATAGACTTATATTTACAGACACAGTTTTGTGTGATCTAGCATTGGCTTCTGCGATGTGATTTCAAGTAATGGCTTTTGTATAGTGGTTTTATTTAAGCATGTTTGTTAATATACTCTAATATGCTTAGTATGGAATTGTTGATATTGATATTTATATTGTCAATACTTTATCAACTGTGGGTTTTATTTAAGCATGTTTGTTAATATACTCTAATATGCTTAGTATGGAATTGTTGATATTGATATTTGTATTGTCAATGCTTTATCAACTGTTGGATGGATGGGATTGTATTCACCGGTATGGGACGGTGTCATACTAGGTTTGTATTAGCTCAATTTGCTAAGTCCTACCTATTTTGGAATAAGGGTACGGGTTGTTAAATAAAATCCTCCTTATATATATGAGTCAGTGCGGTTGAATACGCCGAACGACTTACTGGATTTCTTGTTAATGGTTAGGAACGGAGTTTAGATATATATTTTTGATACCGCGATGTGAGCTTGAGTCTCAGCGTCGATGGTTAGGGTGCATATATGCAATAGGATGCATAGCTGGCTGTGAGGGTTGAGGTATACCCTGTTTAGGCTTAGGTACTCATACCCACTCTGGTGCGCTTTGCGTGATGCCTTCTATTCAGGTTGAGACCCTCTTCATAGTTTAACGAGAGTCCAGTAGTGTGGATATATTTATATATGGATTATTAGTTATTATTGAACTATTTAGTATGTACATGCGTACCGAGTCTCTGTTTGGATTGTTGTAAGATAAAATCAATCACATTCTATATAAAACTCTTACTTTTAGTTCAATGTAAAAAGAATAATTATTTTTTATGCATAATTATCACAATATAACCGGCCCGGCCAGTTATGATTATGTAATTATCGAAAAAGGACATATATCATCATCCTACTAATCCAATAAGCCTATAAATAGATGCATGGAGGAAGGAGGAAGGGGGAAGGGATATAGAAATTGAAAATTATAGAAATCAATAATTCTAAAGTAAAACATAGAAACTCTGTCAAAGAACTCTATACTATTATTAGATGTGCAAAGAGTTTTAATATTTAAGTATTTATTTATTTTTATAAAAAAAATATTTAAAAAACTAAAATTTAAATAAACCTATTTATCTATTTATTATTATGAATTTTTTAATAAAAGAAAATCTAATTAGACAATAATTATTAATATAAAAAAATATTTGTTAATTGATATATATATATAAAATTTTTTCTAAAACTCTACCACAAATTATCTTTTATTATGAGTTTCTTAATAAAATTAAATCTAATTAGACAATGATATATTTAAAGAAAATAAAATAATTTCTATAAAACTCTATCACAAATTACCTATTTTATTTAAAAAAAAATTATATCAGACAAAGATATATTTAAAGAGTTTCTATAAAACTCTAACACAAATTACCTATTTATCTATTTATTATGAGTATTTTAATAAAAGGAAATCTAATTAGACAAGTATTATTAACATTAAAAATTATTTATTAATTGATATAAAAAGAGGTTTTAAAAGAGTTTCTATAAAACTCTAATACAAATTACCTATTTATCTATTTATTAAGAGTTTTTTTTAGTTAAAGTAAATCTAATTAGACAAGAATTATTAAAATAAAAAATAATT